TTAGAGGTGAAGTGTTCGCATGGTTAAGCAGAGAAAGAGCGCACGAATGTGGGGAAATGGGAACTCAGTGCACTGGGAACTCAGTGCACGCATGGTGAAAGGAAACCCGCAGAACATGACTGCAGATGATTTCCAGCTGCTCTCTGAGAAAGCCGTCCTAGAAGAGTACTAGCCAAAGCCACCAAGGTGCACGGATCAGGGGCCATTGACGAGGTTCTCTCTGCTGTGGTCAGAGGGTGTCACTCACACAATGCCATGTGTGGGTGCTCCCTGCAGTTGTGTGACACAGCGGTACTGGACCCAGGCCCTCTTCCATGCCACCTCTTTGCTGGGACCTAGGTGGATTTTTCCTTTTTTACAGAATCCTTGTAGCCCTTGAGAACTGAGCGAATGGAGCAATTGCTAATTTGTCAAATCATCAGAGGCTGGCAGGGAGGGAATATAGGGTGGGATATAGGGGGAGGCAGGAAATGGGAGACTCTGATGCCCAAAATACTTTGTGGATCCCGGCCTGTCCTGGAAAGTGAGAATTAAATCCAGTCTTGAGTTCTTAAAGGAAGCCAGCTCCATCCAGCTCCAGGCTGTCGGGGCGCGTTGCTCCTGCCTTCCCTCCTTCCCTCTCTGGACTTCCTCTGTGGCTGGCTGCTGCTCAGAACCATCGCTCTGCTCTAAAGGGTGGTCCTTCCGGTCCTGCGGGGGATGCCGCCTGTCCTGCTTCCTCACCAGGGATCCCTCGGCTTCAGAGGGAGCAGGGCACTGAGCCTTTTGGAAGGAGCAGCTGCCAGTGTGGCATGGGGCACAAGATCTGTCAGTGAGCTGGGATTCCTTCTCTGCATGACTGACAGTCTGGTGGTGTCCTGCCAGTGAGCCAGGGGGACAGTGGGTAGAGAGGGGTAGCTTGGCTTTACTCCTCTTAACTCCAGTCTGAGAAGAGCCTCCCGAGCTGAGCCTGCTGATCACCCTCCAGCCATTCTTCTCTTTCTTTGCAGGCTCAGGCCCTGGCCCTGGGATAGGACTTTGGAGTCCTCTGAGAACTTTGACTGGTGGGCATTAATAGGTCAGAATCAGAGCATCCCAGAGCCGGAAGGCACTGTATGTGATGGTCCTGTCCATCCACCCACCTGCCCTTACAGATGTCAAACCTGGCTCAGTGAGTTGAAACCCAGTCCTGGGTTTGAAGGACCCCAAGAACCTCTTGCGTCCTGATCACCCATCTCTGTGTCTAAAGATTCTCACCAACAGAAAGCTCTGTCCTTAATCTCAGTTCAAGTACATTTTTCTCAATGGAAATGAGGTGAATTTGGAGCTCAAGGCACTTAATGGGAAGTGACAGATCCATACACATTTAATTCTGAGTAAAATATTTTAAGATTATGTTTGAGAGATGCATAGGTTGCTATTGGGAGCAGAAAGAAGGGGCCCTTAGTCCAATCCTGGGGCACCGGGAAGGCTTCCTGAAGAACCTGCTGTCCGAGTGAAGTCTGAGGAGGGTGAGTTAGAGTCTCCTGGGCAAAGAGTGCTGGGAAGGGCGTGCCCAGGAGGAGGAAGCCATTGAGCGAAATCACAGAGGTACTGATACAAGGTAATGAATGGCTGGAGATGAGAGGGACGTGGAGGCTGGTGATAAAGGCCTTGTAAGGGAAGCCAGCAGAGAGTCTTTGAAGGGGTTACAGTGAGGTGGTCAGATTTACACTTTGGAAAGAGCCCTCTGGCTGCTCTGTGGAGACGCCTCAAAGGGGAGGAGGAGGGAGAGCTGTTAAAAGACAATTGTCACAGGCCTGTGGGAGAAGCGAGGGCTTCAGTTAGGGCACCAGAGGTTGGAATAGAAGGAAGTACTGAAGAGGAGAAGGCCTTGGTGGTGGGGGAGCTGAGGGGGAGGAGGAATCCAGGTGACTGCTGGCTTCTCATCTGGTGATTGGGAGGCTGTTCACCCAGGTGGGGCGCCACTGGGGGAAGGAAGGAGGATGGAGATAGTTCATTTTGGACATTTGGGGTTTGCGATATGATGGGCATATCAACTTGAGGGGAGAGATACACATTTGGAATCCTTTTATGCGAGCAGAATGACCAGGAGACGGGAACAGGTGCAACTGGCCACACAGAGGGCTTGGTGCTCACAGAGGACTGAGAACGGAACCCTGAGTCGTCACTCACATTTCAGAGGTGGACAAAGAAGGAGGCAGAAAATAAGAAAAAATAGTGTCATGGAAACCAGAGGGTCCAGGGTTTAGGAAGAAAGGGATGGTCCGCAGAGCCAAACGGTGTAGCCATGTGGAGGCAAATAGAAATGCCTGTGGGATTGGGTGGCCCAGGCATTGTCGCTGGGGCAGCTCTTTGTGGGGGTGCTGAGGGCAGAAGCCAGAGTACAGTGAATTGAAGAATAAATGGGAAGGGAGAACTGGGGACCCTCCTGTGTTGTCTACTCTAGTACAGTTTAGCCGGGGAGGGAAAGGAGAACAGAGAGGGTATTAGCTGGAGGACAAGTCAAGAGAATGTGCTTAGGGCGTAGGGTTTTGTTTTGTTTCTCTTTCTTCTTAAGGCTGCAGGAAGCTTGAACATGTTATATGCTGAGGAGAGAGCTCCAGATAAGGAGAAGAGGTGAAGACGCAGGAGAGGGAAGGGAAAGTCAGTGGTGCTCTATCCTGGAGGCCATCCTGGAGGCAAGAGCACAGGAGGGTTGAACCTCAGCAGGAGGTGGTGTCTGCTTCCCCTGAGACCAAAAGGCAGGGAGGGAGCCCGAACACCAATGTGGGTAAGTTAGTGGGAGGAGAGGCAGGAAATGGAGAGAGATTATTTCCAGTGGCCTCGGTTTCCTCTTCAAAGGCAAATCGTGATACTCTGCTTGTCCCAGCTCAGGGCTGAAACCACAGTCATTCCCTGGATGAAAAGGCTTCAGCTCAGCCCCCCTTTGAGCATTTATCTAGTGTCTCCTCTCTAAAACATGAGGACTTCTTTCTCTTGGGATCAGTTCCTGAGCTCTGAGCAGCTAAGTTCTGCTATTTCCAACTGCTTATCCAATTCCTTTAAGTTTCAGGTAGCAAGACTCCCTCTTACCCTCTGCAGATAATCTGTAAGGAGATGTTGAAATCAGCAGAGAGTACCTCATATGCCCTGAGGCTGGGCTTAGGCGGTTCTATCTTTGCGAAATTATTCCCAGAGGTTCACTGAGGCAGGTCAGGGTTCTGCATCTGTGCCTGGTGAATGCAACAGGGTCCCGGTGGGCACCTCAGGTTAAGGGATATTCTTGTCCTAACTCATTTTCAATCTGATGGAACCTGCCACCTGAGAATCTATCTGAACCCTTTTCCTATGGATGTTCCCAACTTCCTAATCGTGAAGAAGAACATACTTCATAGGTTTGTTACCCACTGGGTACAGCAGTGTAATAGAATGAACAATTTTTGATCATTTGATGGAATCTTGAACTTCCCAGCTGCTGGTATGAAGGGTCAGAATTGACTACTTGACACTCACTTCTCCCAGCCTAGTCTGAAACACGGCTGTACACATAGGTCAGTTTTGGCGACAGACTAGAATCTCCTGGGGAGTGTTAAAAAATACCACTGCCCTACTGCAAACCAATGAATCAGAATCTCCAGAAAGTACATGGGTATCATTATTTTTATTAAGTCCCCTGTTGTTTCTAATGTGCAGCCAGGGTTCTCAGGCCAGGCTAACCTTGTCATTACAACCATTTGTTCTGTTTACATTTCCTTTTACCACCATTGTGACCTTTTCATGTCATGGCTTCTAAAGAAAAGGATGTAAATGGAGTAAATGAAGGGGGCTGCCTATAGCCAGAGGTATTGGGTCTGGGGGGGCGCCTTCAGGTAGCTTCCGGAGGGCCGAGGGGAATCAATATTTTGGCACACCTGTAATCCACCAGGCGGCTGAGTCTCACCTGTTGGCAAGCTTTGTTTTACTGCCCATGTTTGTGTATTTGGGGAGGATCTTAGTGAAGTCTGAGTGCTGCTACGGTCTCTTTCATAGAGCTCTGTTGTCCTTTTCATGTACAACCTTACTGAAGCACAATTGACATACAATAAACTGTACATATTTAAAGTTTACAGTTCAATAAGTTTTGACACAAATGTATACCTGTGAACCCATGACCGCAATCAAGATGATGAACATAGGCATTCTCCCCAAAGGTTTCTTGTGTTCCTTTGTGATCCATCTCTCTTGCCACCCTTTTCCAAATAACCACTGGTGTGCTTATTGTTGCTCTAAATTAGTTTTCATTTTCCAGAATTTTTTATAAATGGAGTCCTACCTATTCTTACTAGTCTGCCTTCTTTCACTCTGCATAGGTGTTTTGAGATATGTTATTCCATGTGTTAATAATTCATTTCTGTTGTTTGGTAGTATTCAGTTCTGTGGCCATGTCACTTTGTTTGGTCCATTCACTTGCTGATGGACAGACATTTGGGTGGTTTCCAGTCTTGGGGTATTGCAAATAGGGCTGCTGGGAATATTGGTGCACAGGTCTTTGCATGGACATACACTTTCATTTTACTTGGTAAGTAATTAGGAGTGGGATGGTTGAGTCACATGGTAGGTGGATGTTTACCTTTTCAAGAAGCTGCCTGTTTCCCAAATTGGTTGTCCCATTTTACATTCACCACCAGCAGTGTATGAAGGCTGTCCTCATTTCCATCTTCACACTTGACTAATGCAAGGTGCCTCCTTTATGCCTCGGGGCACACGTGAGAGAGTTGAGGATGGGAGTTGAGGATCAGACATGGAGAGGTGTACAGATGAATGGGAGGGTGGGTGGATGTCATAGATAAATGAATAAAGTTGTCTTGATGTCTCTTTTTTTCCTCCATCTTTCAGTGTCTTTCCATCTGTCATAGGCACTCAAGACACAGGCAGTGGCCCAGGTGATGTCCCCTAAGTGAGATTATTAATACATATCTTTTTCTGACTGAGTTGATTGATATTTTTACCTCTTGCCTGCAGGTGCCCAGGTACCATGCCGCAGCTCTGCAGACCTGACATTGGCGGGAAGTAGAACACTTCCTGTCTCCTCTGGCCCCCATCCTCACCATGTCTTCGACTCAGGGCAGTGGGGAACACTGGAAGTCCTTGGAGTCAGTGGGCATCAGCCGCAAAGAGCTGGCCATGGCTGAAGCCTTGCAGATGGAGTATGATGCCCTGTCCCGGCTCCGGCGGGACAAGGAGGAAAGCAGAGCCAAGCAGAACACAGACCCCTCTCTCATCAGCTGGGATGAGCCCGTCCTCGACTTCTACAGCAAGCCTGCAGGAGGGCAGAAGGACCTCAAGCTCTTGCGCGGGCTTTCTGGCTCCGATCCTACCCTCAATTACAACTCGCTGTCCCCACAGGAAGGGCTGCCCAACCACTCTACCTCCCAGGGCTGCCAGCCTGGCCCAGATCCCTGGCCCAAAGGCTCCTTGGCTGGAGACTGTCTCTACATTTTTGATGGCTCAGATGGGGGACCCTCGTTGTCTCCAGGATCGGAGGATATAGATGGCTCTTCCAAGAAGCTGTCCCCACCTCCTCTGCCTCCCCGAGTCTCTATCTGGGATACCCCTCCACTGCCTCCCAGAAAGGGGTCCCCTTCATCTTCCAAGATCTCCCAACCCAATGACATCAACACACTTTCTTTGGTTGAACAACCTCCAGGCAAACTGCTGGGGCATCGGATTCTGGAAGAGGAAGAGGAGCCAGGAGGTGGGGGTCCAGGGCGCCTACTCGGGTCTGTGGACTATGATGGTATCAATGATGCAATTACTCGGCTTAACTTGAAGTCAACCTATGATGCAGACACACTGTGGGATGCCACCAGGGTCTGGAAGGAGGGCCGGGGGCACCTGGACTTCAGCAAGGACACTCCTGGAAAACCTGTGGCCCGAAGCAAGACTATGCCCCCTCAGGTGCCCCCCCGCACCTACACCTCCTGCTATGCCAATCGAAACAATGTTACACCTGGCAAGAACCGCCGGATTTCTGCCGCTCCGGTGAGAACCTTACTGTGTCTCTCTCCCCACCCGACCCCCCATGCTCTTAGAAACAAGAGGAGTCCCACTTTTCTGCTATTCCAGCCCAAATCTACTCACCCTTTAGTCCTTTCCGCCCCTGTGTGCTGGCCGTCAGGCCCCCAGGCCCTGGTGGTGTGGAGGAAAAGGGACCCCACTAGGGAAATGGCTCCTTTTCAGGGCAGAATGTTTGTATTTTGGCCAAATGGCCCTCCTGGGGACAGTTGTTTTGCAACTCCAATTCCTCGTGTGTACCGGCCTCACGATACAAAGACTGGCCTGGGGTGGGGGTTCACTGCTGACTGTGGTTGAATGACCTTGTGGACTGGAGCAAGTTGCTTCTGCTGACTTTTCTGCTCTGCCAAAAAATGCTACGTGGTGATGAGGCTCAATTAATATTGACCCCTGTTTAGTGTTTACTGAAACTCAGGCCTGCTGCAGACTCCGGCCCAGGTCCCTCAGCAACCTGCCTCAGGGACCCAGGCACAGCCCTGGTGTCCCTTGTTCCAAAGCTCCCTCGTTCTAGCCCCTCTCATGCTGTGTCTGTCTCTCTGTCTGTCTCCCACTCTGTCTCTCTTGGTGCGGTAAGATATACATAACACAAAAATTACCATCCTAACCAATTCTAAGTGACACCGTTCAGCGGCATCAAGTACAAATTCACATTGTTGTGCAACCATCACCACCATTTAGCTCTTTTCACAGTGAAAACATTTAGAAAGACTATGCAGTGTGACAATCATAATTTTACTTGTATCAGTACACAGTGTAAAATAGCAAAGTATCTACACAGAAGCACTGGGTGGGGTCCAGGGCACCTTTGGTCGTTTTTCTGGCTTGAAAGGGTATCAGCAGCCTGTCCCTGGGTGGGACCCGGAGGCCACATTGTGCTTCCTCCTTGAGCCCTGGAAACCCTGGCCCCAGGAGGCACCCCCTGGCTGATGACTTGTGTAGTAATAGCACTCCACCTCATTCCATCCCGGTTTCCTCCTTATCCATTGTCTAAGCCACTCTGGGCTTTCCCACCTCCTGTCCCAGCGATGGGGATCCTTTAGGATTCTGCAAAAGCCCACGTGGTCCTTCCTTCCTTCCTGTGCTTCTGCTGAGAGTCCCCCAAAGCAGAATCAGCTCCGGGGATATCACAGTGCTGGAGCTCCGGGCTTTTTAAAGGCCCTGCTCTGAGAGGTGGGGCTGCTCCCGCTATTTATAGGGACAGAAATTCCTGTTCCCAGCTCCGAGTTCCTGACACAGAGCTGGGCCTACTCCCCAGCCACTCGGGTAGGTGGTCACCTCTGTCGTTCCCTCTCTCTCTCTCTCTCTCGCTTCCCACCACTCCCTCCCCGCCCCCGCCCCATCCCGCGTGTCTTCAGAGTTCTGAGAAGGAGCGTGGGCCAGAGTCGCCTTGAAGAAGCTCTCGGGCAATGCAAAAAGCTCTTGCCGGTTCTTAGGCTGGAAATGCGGCCTTGGCTGGCCCTGCCTCACTTCGGGGCTGGGGCTCATCCCACCAGGAGCAGGGGCCCTTCGGGTCCTCAGCCTGTACCACCACCCCGCCTTCGCCGGGCTTCCAGCCGGAGGGACCCTCCTTATCCTGGGCCTGCGGAGCCAGCTCTGGAACTGGTTGGCTCCAAATGCCAGCCTGGTACCCCCACTGGCAGCCTCTGCCCGGCAGATGCCCCCAGCCAGCATCGGGCAGTGCCAGCAGGGCCTGCCAGCAGGGCGAACGTAAGTGCCATTTGTGTCTGTGTGCAGCCAGTGAGTGGCACTGAAAGGGCATGAAAATGGCCTTCAGTAGCCACTCTGTTCCCCCACCCCCACTTTCCCCTCCTCTCTCTTCTCTTTATCGCTTCCTCACTCTCACTTCTGTGGGTTAATTGCTGACAGTGGTACTATTGTTTTGACTGGGACACAGGCACGAACTTGGCAGAGCCAGGGCCTCACATGCCAACTGGCCTCACTGCTGCCCTCCCCTCCCTGTGCCCCCTCCATGCTCACCCCGAGGAGCACGCCTAAAGAGAAGAGGGGTCACTCAGAGGAAACAATCTGGATGGTCGAATGAAGAGCTCGGTTGCTGCTTTGTGCTGGAGGGCAGGGAGGGCAGGAGACTAGCCTGGGGGAGGTTGAGAGGTGAGGCATTGCCTACTACCTGGAAGCAGCTGTTGGCACCCGCGTTACCGGATGCAGCTCAGCCCTCCATCCGAGCTGCAGCTTTATTCCCTGGGGGTGGCCTCCCCTAGCAGCTCTGGGCAGGCCTGTCAGGCAGAAACCTGTCATGCACCAGCTACTCGCCTACTTCCTCCTCCCCTGGGCTGCTGGCCTAGTCTGAGGGCTGCTTTGGAACTCCTCAGGGGTGACCGGACATCTCTTCAGTGGGCAACAGTCGGGGGTCTTGTCTGAGAGAATCCCCACCACCACACGCATTTTCTTGGACAGGAAGCAGGGGCCCAGGCAGGTCCCCTGACATTTCAGCTGCTCAGAACCAGAAGACTCCAGAGCCAGAAGGAGCGAATAAGCCTTCTACCAGGTTCTCTCCTGCGCAGAGCTCTCCTTTGACACTTTCTTCCTCAAATAGCATTGACCGAGAAGGCATGTGTATCTGAATCATCACCTCCATCTGAGGGCTGTCGGTTTCTCTGCTTTGAGTCCTGGGGCTTGTCTGACTGCTGAGGCCCTCACCCAGGGCCTGGCTGCCCTGGGGACTGTTTGGGCAAACACTTGCCCTGGCCTCAGCAGTGGGGAAAACCAGTTGCCTGCTAGCTGCCTGCGTGCCTCTGGGAGGATCCTCCAGGAAGCTGCGCGCTGCCCGCCTGCCGGATGGAGCTTATTGCACCCGGCCCCTCGGGAAGCAGGTGTGGCTGCGCTCCGCTCCACCTCACCTGGGTTTCCAGACTCAGTTGAGGCTCTTGAGTTCTCTTTTTCACCCTGGCTCTTGTTCTCCTAGGACGGCAGATCGATACATATTTCTGGATTTCTATTTTCTTGTAACCCCTTTCACCCAATGTTGAATGCCTAGAAAGTTATGACCCTTAAGAGTTTAAGAATTTAGATCTGGGGACAGCCCGTGGGAAAGGGGAGGTCAGGAGGGAAAAGGCACTGAGTCAGCTGCTCTTCTCTTAAAGATGGGCTCCCGGCCCCACGCCGTCACCAATGGCCATGAGTTGTTTGAGGTCTCAGAGGAGAGAGATGAGGAAGTTGCTGCGTTTTGCCACATGCTGGATATGTAAGAGTTAAAGAATGGGGGCTTGGGAAAGGTTGTGGGAGTTGGGGAGGAGGGTCACCCCATCCAGAACTTTCTCTAGGAAGGACAAAGAACCACATTTAATAAATCTCAGTTCATAGGTGTGGGATGCTTCCTATAGCAGGTGTTTGTGAAATCTTGGAAGTTTCGCATTTTTGACAATATCCCTGAAACCTGGATCTGACAGACAATCCCAGTTGCTCCAGGCCCAGCTGCCCTCATGCACAAATGCATCCCAGCTGGAGATAAGAGTGTTATCTGGAGCTAAAAGAAAGGAAATGGATTCAGAAAATTTTTCCACTGAACTAAGCGTGGAAAGCTTTGTCATTTTAGAATATTCCTACTGTTTAGCTGGGCTTGGGAAACTTTGCAACCGTGGCAACAGTGTCCAGAGAATGGCTTCTCAGTGCTGCCTTCCCACTGCCCCCTCCTGGCCTGTGGGGCTGAGCGGGGACAGAGCTGACCCCTGGGCCCCCACGGGGAGGGTCCGTGCAGGCCGCCTGCCGAGTGCCCTCTCCTGAAGGCACAGCCAGGGTCCTTCTCCCTCTCTTCCTGTACAGCCTCCGATCTGGCTGTGACATCCAAGACTACACCCTCACTGGCTGTGTCTGGAGTGCAGTGACCCCAAGCCCAGAGCACCTTGGGGACGAGGTCAACCTGAAGGTGACTGTGTTGTGTGACAGCCTGAGGGAGCCGCTCACTTTTACCTGCAACTGTAAGTTAGCGGGGGCGGGGGTGAGCGTCCCTTGAGGTGGGCAGGGATGGATGACTGTTTTGGATTGAAGGATCCTTTGGCTACAATTCCCACCCTACCTTACAGCTCAGTGAGGGGCAGTGGGGAAGCTCCTTTGGGGCCAGTTTTTAGGGCCCTGATCACCTTTCCCACCTCCAAGCGCTGTGTTTGCCTGTTGATCTGGTTGGTGCTTATGCTGGCGAACACTTAGCCAGGAATGGGGGATCAGGGTGGGGACGCTGAGCCCCGCCGGCCCCACTGCCCCCTACCATGGCTTCCGCCGCCCCATCCCTTACAGGCTCCTCCACTGTAGACCTGCTCATCTACCAGACGCTGTGTTACACCCATGACGAACTGAGGGACGTAGACGTGGGTGACTTTGTGCTGAAGCCCTGTGGGCTCGAGGAGTTCCTGCAGAAGTGAGTGAGCTGGCGGGACAAGCCGGGTAGGCAGCAGTGTTGGGAGGGGGCTGCACAGGGGTGGCACTGGGCTCCAGGCCTGGGCTGGCAGCTCCACCCCAATCCCACAGGCAGGACTGCTGCTTTCTGGACACACTCTCAGCCACGTCGCAGCTTCCCCAGGAGCTCTTGTCTTCCAGCGGGGTTGGCCAGCTTCCTGAGCCAAATCTGCTGTGGAAAGAGCTTGGAGCAGGGATTAGGCAAAGACCAGGTCATATCTGCTTACTGACTTCTGCATGTGGAGGGCTGTGTGTGTGGAGGCAGGGAGTTGTGTGGGGTTGTTTCTTCTGCCCCTGGACTAGTCTTTAGGGCCAGGAGGACTGGGCAGATGTGCCCCTGTGGAACCTAGAGGAGCAATCTTATTGCCCATTCCTCTCTATTTCCCTGCCAGCCAGCCTTTCCCCCAGCATGTGCCCTCCTCACCAAGGGCTGGCCTCCAGCTCCTCTCCATCCAGTGCCCTCTGCAGCAACCAGCCCATCTGGAAAGTCTGATGTGGCCCAGCTGCTGTGGTCCCTGTCCCACTTGCCCTGGGGCTCTGGAGTGCTGGGGCAGGAGGGGAGTTCACCCCTCAGGGGTACAGCTGTGTGGCAGGCTGTAGAACCAGCCCGAGGACAGCAGATGAAGATTAGAGGTCTGCTTCCCCCACGCCCAAGCTTCCACTTGCCCTGCCCACTACCCTTGGCCACTGGGAGGAGGCAGGCCATGGAGCGGCCTGTATCTCGGTTCTTAGGAGTGACTGCTGAGTACTAGACCACTTGCTCTTTCTCTTACCTCCAGGTCTAGGTGCAAGGATGGTTGACCTATGGCTTGAGCAGTCCTTGGCTGGTCTCTTGAGTCTTAGGGATATTGCGGGTCCTTTCTGGCTTTATGCCCTCCACTAGAAAGCTGAAGGGGAGAAGAGGGGCAGGGTCCCGCATGGCACAACTCTGGGGAGCACCGTTCTAACATGTTCCATGTGTACCTGCTTTCCTCCGGGAAAATAAGGGGCCCCAGACTCTGGGTCTCTTGGCAGAGAGCACCAAGGGGACAGGGACACAGCGGTACAGCTTGTTTGGGTCCTGGCTTGCCGCTTTCCAGTTGTGAAACCCTGAGCCTCTTTTCTTCCCTAAAATGTAGTGAGGATTAAATGTGAGGGTGACCCAATGAGCAATCAATAAATATTATATCTATCAGGAGGGACTGGTCCAGAGCGGAATGCGTGGGGGTCTGGATCAGATGGGCACTGTTATTTGCCCTGCAGCTCCCCTAGTCCGTCAGCTCCGAGTCCAGAGGTGATAGGTCAGCTACCAGGTGCTTGTTTCTTGCAGGACCAGGATGGGTCCAGAAGCATCATGAGCAGGTGGAATAGGGTCAGTGGGAGTGGGGTCATGCCCCTCCCCTCTAACTTGAATGCACATAGGAGGTCTTCCACAGAGAGCAAGCAAGTCCCCATGGGACCTGCATCCCTGTCCCCCATGCTTACTGAGGCTCTTCTCTTCCCTCCCACCCAACAGAAAAGTCCGGACCCCTGAGCACAAGACAGCTGCCTTGGGTAGGGGTGGAAGGGACCCTCTGGGGACTTCAGGAAGCTATTAACTCCCAAGGAAGCCCTGTGCTTTCCTACCCTTGCCTAGCAGGGAGGGGCTGATGCTGAAGGAGTGGTGGGTCCAGGATGCAGGCGGCTCTCAGATAAGAACCTTGAGACAGTCTCAGGGGAGGGTTAGGTTTCCTGCCACCTCCCCCCCACACACCACACTCTTCCTTCCTCCCAGAGCGCTGCCAACAGAGACATCCCCAGCTTTTGGCTGCAGTTCAGTCTTAGCAGCTGGGGCCTAGATCAGAGGCTTGACCCCTCAGGATGTACAGAAACCCCTTAAGTCCTAGCTGGACCCAGACCTGTGCACCTCTGTCAGCTTCTGCACCAACCCTCATCTTGGCTTCTCTCCTCTCCCCTCCATTTCTGGCCTAGACTCCCAGTTCTGCTGAGGAAGGAAGTCTCTTTCCGGCTTCTGTTACCCAGCTGCTGGGAGCTGGCCCAGGCCTGCAGTGCTGACCTGCAGGTGGACTCACTCTGCCCCCTCTGGGTTTCCTTCCTGACCGAGCTGTGATTGGGAGGGAGGAGAAGCCGGATCGTGGAGGGCCTCCCTAGGATCCCTTCTCTGAAACCTGGGGGGCAGCGGGAGTCTCCCCTGTGGCTGCTCGAGCAGTGGGAATGGCACGCAGGTGGGTGCTTGTCAGAAAGTTTGACATTGTCATTCACAGACAGGACCCACAGAGGGAGGGGAGAAGCAGTCTTTGAGGTGCTTGGGGATAACAGACCTGGGATCTGGGTGGGTTGCTTGGTGGCCTCGGCATCCTGGTCAGTAATGGTAGTGGGTGGGAGACTAGGGACCACAGTGTGGGGTTGGCATCACTCAATGAGCTCCACACCCGAGCCCGAGCACAGGCTGGGCTTTTACATGTCCTGTACACCGAAGCTAGGAGAATGGGGTTTCAATGTAGCCCCCCAAGAAGTCTCTCTGTTCCTCGCTTCCTCCAGAAGTTCCCACCTCTGGTGGGAACCAATGATAATGATCCCTAGGATATACCTAGGGAAGTCGGTGTTTATACAGATCAAGGGTTAAGCGTTATCAGGTGGATTCCCTTTGGATGAACTTGTTTCTGTCTCTCATTCTCCCATGACATATCCCAGGACCAACGTAAGGGGGTGTACTACACATACTACCCCCTCCCCCTTCCTCCTGTTTCTCTCTGCTCAAGGCTGAGGATGCCATGCCACTGTGTCCCCAGGATGCTAACGGTCTTGTCCCCCTCCCCCACCAGCAAGCACGCCCTGGGCAGCCATGAGCACATTCAATACTGCCGCAAGTTTGACATTGACATTCGCCTACAGCTGCTGGAGCAGAAAGCCGTGCGCAATGACCTGGCCCGGACGGTTCGTGCCCGGGGAGGTTGATGGCTGCCCAGGGATGGGGGAAGTGGAGTGGGCAGAGGGCGATAAGGAGCGGATCTAGTGGGAGTGGGGTAGGAACGTTGGGCTGGCATGAAAGCACCACCCCTCTGAATAGGGTGCTTCCTACCCAGGTGGGTGATGGCCAGAGCCCCTCCACTATGAACTACCTCATCCATCTGCAAGAGAGGCCAGTCAAACAGACCATCAGCAGGTGAGAGCGCATGCCGTCTTGGGCGTGCGCCAGGCGGGAACTGTGAGGGGACCCCAGCAGATACCCCTGCTCACTTTTCTGCCAGGACCAAGGATTCATGTGTTGGGGTGGGGCCCAAGAGTCTTACAGGTGAAGACCCCCCACTCCAAGGTGGGTTACATCTTTTCCCTCTAGTACTTTGCCATCATTCTCCAGGTGAGAGATGACAGGCAGAAAGGACTCACTGTCCTTCTGCCTTCATGGGACAGAGAGAAAGAGTGGGAGCCGTTTAAACCAGAGGCTGATTCCTGAGCTGTGGAGAGGGAGGGAGAGAATGGGTCTCCCAGGACACTGGGTCTGTCCTGACGTCTCCTGTGATTTCCCCCTTCCCCAACTCCCCAGGCAGGCCCTGAGTCTTCTGTTTGACACTTACCACAACGAGGTGGATGCCTTCCTGCTAGCTGATGTGAGTACAAATCCCAGCTCTGGCCCAGCTGCCCAAGGTCCAAGCCTCCTCCTCTCCCCTAGTCCTCCTGAGATCAGCCAGCTCGAAGGGGCTGTGGACTAGACACTGAACAGCTGTCAGCCGAGCACTCCTTTTATTCTCCTGGCTCATAGACAAAGCAGGGCTGTGTAGAGGGCCCTGCTCCTCCATAGAGGAAGGTCAGGCATGAGCCCTGATCTCTCTCTCTGGAGTAGGGTGTCTCCAAAGCTCAGAGACATAGAGTGGTCACCCCAGCTGCTGTTCAAACGGGCACTGGAGCGGGCATCCTGTGTGTAATGCTCAGGACCCTCCGGTTTGACAGGTTCTATGCGCTGGTGTTACAGGTGGAAACCCATCTGCAGGTGGTGGGTCCCAAAGATAGGGAAGGGCCAGGATGCCCCTCACGTGGACCCACAGGGAGCTATAAGCCTCAAAACCGTGACAGCAGTATTTGCCCCAAATGTCATGAAGCTAAAGAAAATCAGGTAGTGCCCTTCAAAAGCCACCCCCCTCTCAGTGACCCAGTGGACAGTGGCCGTGGCCTCTTCCCTTCTGGGGACTTCAGCCTTATATGTAGTTCAGCCCTCTACTCACCCGCTGCCAGAATCCCTGCTCCAGGAGCCTCTGCTTGAACATTTACTTTGATGGTGGGGAAGTTCTCCAAACATCTTTTCTGGGCACGTCTGGCCCTATGCTAGTGGCCGCTGGGGAGAGAGAAGCCATAAGAATTGTCTCAGCCTTCAGGGAACTTGTATTCCTGTTAGAAAAATGCCATACCAGAAAGCTGTTAGGAGACAGAACAGCGACGAGTTGATCAAGGGCTCTTGGGGAATTATGGAGAGGGGGACTGGTCAGTGAAACCTGTGGGAAAGAGTTTGATTTAAGCCTGGCCCTTGATTTGAATGTACGCAGGTAATCAGGGCAAGGCAGGCGAGGGAATTCCTGGTGAGAAAAGTGCAGGAGCCACAGTGCAGAGGGGGGCGTGGGGGCCTGGCATGTCTGTGGTCTGGCGATGAGGTCCGCCTGGGAAGTCCAGGTGGTAGTGTGGGAAACCAGGCTGTGCGGGCAAGTGGGCCTCAGTGTGGTCTTTGGCCTGCTTGCCATTCCCTGCGGATTTATTTTATTTAAATTGGATGCCTCTGGGGAAAGACTCTATGGGTGTATATAGTATAAGTAGACTTCAGCTGACAGTGGGAGGCTGAGAACCAAAGGAGGTTCGGGAAGCATGGCCGAAAGAATTGGGGAACCCAGGCGCAGCCCACGTGACTCAGTAGGAGTGAGTGTTGGCCAAAGGTGGGTGTTTGAAGACAATGCATGGACCCCACTAGTCNGAGGTCAACCTGAAGGTGACTGTGTTGTGTGACAGCCTGAGGGAGCCGCTCACTTTTACCTGCAACTGTAAGTTAGCGGGGGCGGGGGTGAGCGTCCCTTGAGGTGGGCAGGGATGGATGACTGTTTTGGATTGAAGGATCCTTTGGCTACAATTCCCACCCTACCTTACAGCTCAGTGAGGGGCAGTGGGGAAGCTCCTTTGGGGCCAGTTTTTAGGGCCCTGATCACCTTTCCCACCTCTAAGCGCTGTGTTTGCCTGTTGATCTGGTTGGTGCTTATGCTGGCGAACACTTAGCCAGGAATGGGGGATCAGGGTGGGGACGCTGAGCCCCGCCGGCCCCACTGCCCCCTACCATGGCTTCCGCCGCCCCATCCCTTACAGGCTCCTCCACTGTAGACCTGCTCATCTACCAGACGCTGTGTTACACCCATGACGAACTGAGGGACGTAGACGTGGGTGACTTTGTGCTGAAGCCCTGTGGGCTCGAGGAGTTCCTGCAGAAGTGAGTGAGCTGGCGGGACAAGCCGGGTAGGCAGCAGTGTTGGGAGGGGGCTGCACAGGGGTGGCACTGGGCTCCAGGCCTGGGCTGGCAGCTCCACCCCAATCCCACAGGCAGGACTGCTGCTTTCTGGACACACTCTCAGCCACGTCGCAGCTTCCCCAGGAGCTCTTGTCTTCCAGCGGGGTTGGCCAGCTTCCTGAGCCAAATCTGCTGTGGAAAGAGCTTGGAGCAGGGATTAGGCAAAGACCAGGTCATATCTGCTTACTGACTTCTGCATGTGGAGGGCTGTGTGTGTGGAGGCAGGGAGTTGTGTGGGGTTGTTTCTTCTGCCCCTGGACTAGTCTTTAGGGCCAGGAGGACTGGGCAGATGTGCCCCTGTGGAACCTAGAGGAGCAATCTTATTGCCCATTCCTCTCTATTTCCCTGCCAGCCAGCCTTTCCCCCAGCATGTGCCCTCCTCACCAAGGGCTGGCCTCCAGCTCCTCTCCATCCAGTGCCCTCTGCAGCAACCAGCCCATCTGGAAAGTCTGATGTGGCCCAGCTGCTGTGGTCCCTGTCCCACTTGCCCTGGGGCTCTGGAGTGCTGGGGCAGGAGGGGAGTTCACCCCTCAGGGGTACAGCTGTGTGGCAGGCTGTAGAACCAGCCCGAGGACAGCAGATGAAGATTAGAGGTCTGCTTCCCCCACGCCCAAGCTTCCACTTGCCCTGCCCACTACCCTTGGCCACTGGGAGGAGGCAGGCCATGGAGCGGCCTGTATCTCGGTTCTTAGGAGTGACTGCTGAGTACTAGACCACTTGCTCTTTCTCTTACCTCCAGGTCTAGGTGCAAGGATGGTTGACCTATGGCTTGAGCAGTCCTTGGCTGGTCTCTTGAGTCTTAGGGATATTGCGGGTCCTTTCTGGCTTTATGCCCTCCACTAGAAAGCTGAAGGGGAGAAGAGGGGCAGGGTCCCGCATGGCACAACTCTGGGGAGCACCGTTCTAACATGTTCCATGTGTACCTGCTTTCCTCCGGGAAAATAAGGGGCCCCAGACTCTGGGTCTCTTGGCAGAGAGCACCAAGGGGACAGGGACACAGCGGTACAGCTTGTTTGGGTCCTGGCTTGCCGCTTTCCAGTTGTGAAACCCTGAGCCTCTTTTCTTCCCTAAAATGTAGTGAGGATTAAATGTGAGGGTGACCCAATGAGCAATCAATAAATATTATATCTATCAGGAGGGACTGGTCCAGAGCGGAATGCGTGGGGGTCTGGATCAGATGGGCACTGTTATTTGCCCTGCAGCTCCCCTAGTCCGTCAGCTCCGAGTCCAGAGGTGATAGGTCAGCTACCAGGTGCTTGTTTCTTGCAGGACCAGGATGGGTCCAGAAGCATCATGAGCAGGTGGAATAGGGTCAGTGGGAGTGGGGTCATGCCCCTCCCCTCTAACTTGAATGCACATAGGAGGTCTTCCACAGAGGGCAAGCAAGTCCCCATGGGACCTGCATCCCTGTCCCCCATGCTTACTGAGGCTCTTCTCTTCCCTCCCACCCAACAGAAAAGTCCGGACCCCTGAGCACAAGACAGCTGCCTTGGGTAGGGGTGGAAGGGACCCTCTGGGGACTTCAGGAAGCTATTAACTCCCAAGGAAGCCCTGTGCTTTCCTACCCTTGCCTAGCAGGGAGGGGCTGATGCTGAAGGAGTGGTGGGTCCAGGATGCAGGCGGCTCTCAGATAAGAACCTTGAGACAGTCTCAGGGGAGGGTTAGGTTTCCTGCCACCTCCCCCCCACACACCACACTCTTCCTTCCTCCCAGAGCGCTGCCAACAGAGACATCCCCAGCTTTTGGCTGCAGTTCAGTCTTAGCAGCTGGGGCCTAGATCAGAGGCTTGACCCCTCAGGATGTACAGAAACCCCTTAAGTCCTAGCTGGACCCAGACCTGTGCACCTCTGTCAGCTTCTGCACCAACCCTCATCTTGGCTTCTCTCCTCTCCCCTCCATTTCTGGCCTAGACTCCCAGTTCTGCTGAGGAAGGAAGTCTCTTTCCGGCTTCTGTTACCCAGCTGCTGGGAGCTGGCCCAGGCCTGCAGTGCTGACCTGCAGGTGGACTCACTCTGCCCCCTCTGGGTTTCCTTCCTGACCGAGCTGTGATTGGGAGGGAGGAGAAGCCGGATCGTGGAGGGCCTCCCTAGGATCCCTTCTCTGAAACCTGGGGGGCAGCGGGAGTCTCCCCTGTGGCTGCTCGAGCAGTGGGAATGGCACGCAGGTGGGTGCTTGTCAGAAAGTTTGACATTGTCATTCACAGACAGGACCCACAGAGGGAGGGGAGAAGCAGTCTTTGAGGTGCTTGGGGATAACAGACCTGGGATCTGGGTGGGTTGCTTGGTGGCCTCGGCATCCTGGTCAGTAATGGTAGTGGGTGGGAGACTAGGGACCACAGTGTGGGGTTGGCATCACTCAATGAGCTCCACACCCGAGCCCGAGCACAGGCTGGGCTTTTACATGTCCTGTACACCGAAGCTAGGAGAATGGGGTTTCAATGTAGCCCCCCAAGAAGTCTCTCTGTTCCTCGCTTCCTCCAGAAGTTCCCACCTCTGGTGGGAACCAATGATAATGATCCCTAGGATATACCTAGGGAAGTCGGTATTTATACAGATCAAGGGTTAAGCGTTATCAGGTGGATTCCCTTTGGATGAACTTGTTTCTGTCTCTCATTCTCCCATGACATATCCCAGGACCAACGTAAGGGGGTGTACTACACATACTACCCCCTCCCCCTTCCTCCTGTTTCTCTCTGCTCAAGGCTGAGGATGCCATGCCACTGTGTCCCCAGGATGCTAACGGTCTTGTCCCCCTCCCCCACCAGCAAGCACGCCCTGGGCAGCCATGAGCACATTCAATACTGCCGCAAGTTTGACATTGACATTCGCCTACAGCTGCTGGAGCAGAAAGCCGTGCGCAATGACCTGGCCCGGACGGTTTGTGCCCGGGGAGGTTGATGGCTGCCCAGGGATGGGGGAAGTGGAGTGGGCAGAGGGCGATAAGGAGCGGATCTAGTGGGAGTGGGGTAGGAACGTTGGGCTGGCATGAAAGCACCACCCCTCTGAATAGGGTGCTTCCTACCCAGGTGGGTGATGGCCAGAGCCCCTCCACTATGAACTACCTCATCCATCTGCAAGAGAGGCCAGTCAAACAGACCATCAGCAGGTGAGAGCGCATGCCGTCTTGGGCGTGCGCCAGGCGGGAACTGTGAGGGGACCCCAGCAGATACCCCTGCTCACTTTTCTGCCAGGACCAAGGATTCATGTGTTGGGGTGGGGCCCAAGAGTCTTACAGGTGAAGACCCCCCACTCCAAGGTGGGTTACATCTTTTCCCTCTAGTACTTTGCCATCATTCTCCAGGTGAGAGATGACAGGCAGAAAGGACTCACTGTCCTTCTGCCTTCATGGGACAGAGAGAAAGAGTGGGAGCCGTTTAAACCAGAGGCTGATTCCTGAGCTGTGGAGAGGGAGGGAGAGAATGGGTCTCCCAGGACACTGGGTCTGTCCTGACGTCTCCTGTGATTTCCCCCTTCCCCAACTCCCCAGGCAGGCCCTGAGTCTTCTGTTTGACACTTACCACAACGAGGTGGATGCCTTCCTGCTAGCTGATGTGAGTACAAATCCCAGCTCTGGCCCAGCTGCCCAAGGTCCAAGCCTCCTCCTCTCCCCTAGTCCTCCTGAGATCAGCCAGCTCGAAGGGGCTGTGGACTAGACACTGAACAGCTGTCAGCCGAGCACTCCTTTTATTCTCCTGGCTCATAGACAAAGCAGGGCTGTGTAGAGGGCCCTGCTCCTCCATAGAGGAAGGTCAGGCATGAGCCCTGATCTCTCTCTCTGGAGTAGGGTGTCTCCAAAGCTCAGAGACATAGAGTGGTCACCCCAGCTGCTGTTCAAACGGGCACTGGAGCGGGCATCCTGTGTGTAATGCTCAGGACCCTCCGGTTTGACAGGTTCTATGCGCTGGTGTTACAGGTGGAAACCCATCTGCAGGTGGTGGGTCCCAAAGATAGGGAAGGGCCAGGATGCCCCTCACGTGGACCCACAGGGAGCTATAAGCCTCAAAACCGTGACAGCAGTATTTGCCCCAAATGTCATGAAGCTAAAGAAAATCAGGTAGTGCCCTTCAAAAGCCACCCCCCTCTCAGTGACCCAGTGGACAGTGGCCGTGGCCTCTTCCCTTCTGGGGACTTCAGCCTTATATGTAGTTCAGCCCTCTACTCACCCGCTGCCAGAATCCCTGCTCCAGGAGCCTCTGCTTGAACATTTACTTTGATGGTGGGGAAGTTCTCCAAACATCTTTTCTGGGCACGTCTGGCCCTATGCTAGTGGCCGCTGGGGAGAGAGAAGCCATAAGAATTGTCTCAGCCTTCAGGGAACTTGTATTCCTGTTAGAAAAATGCCATACCAGAAAGCTGTTAGGAGACAGAACAGCGACGAGTTGATCAAGGGCTCTTGGGGAATTATGGAGAGGGGGACTGGTCAGTGAAACCTGTGGGAAAGAGTTTGATTTAAGCCTGGCCCTTGATTTGAATGTACGCAGGTAATCAGGGCAAGGCAGGCGAGGGAATTCCTGGTGAGAAAAGTGCAGGAGCCACAGTGCAGAGGGGGGCGTGGGGGCCTGGCATGTCTGTGGTCTGGCGATGAGGTCCGCCTGGGAAGTCCAGGTGGTAGTGTGGGAAACCAGGCTGTGCGGGCAAGTGGGCCTCAGTGTGGTCTTTGGCCTGCTTGCCATTCCCTGCGGATTTATTTTATTTAAATTGGATGCCTCTGGGGAAAGACTCTATGGGTGTATATAGTATAAGTAGACTTTAGCTGACAGTGGGAGGCTGAGAACCAAAGGAGGTTCGGGAAGCATGGCCGAAAGAATTGGGGAACCCAGGCGCAGCCCACGTGACTCAGTAGGAGTGAGTGTTGGCCAAAGGTGGGTGTTTGAAGACAATGCATGGACCCCACTAGTCACCCCTGAGCGTCATGAGCCCCTGCTCCTCCCCACCTGTTCCTGCAACCCCGTGGAGGTCGGGCTGAGCGCCTCACTGCCGCCTCCCACAGGTGGACTTCCCCCTCAAGGCCGACAGGGTGGTGCAGTCTGTCAAAGCCATCTGCAACGCCCTGGCTGCTGTGGAAACCCTTGAGATCACCAGTGCCCTCAACCAGCTGCCCCCCTGCCCCTCCCGCATGCAGCCAAAAATTCAGAAGGTAATGGGCCCAGAGCCTGAGCCATGGGAGGGAGGAGAGGAATATTCATGTAGAACTGGGTGATTAGATGCGCGTTTATTAACAGGCTCATCATTCCACCTCCATCTTTTACATGTGAACAGTTTAACCACAGGAGTTCTTGGGTAACGGATGCCAAGTGTGTCCCCTCTTCCTGAGAACAAGGCTGGGCTAGGGTCTGGCCCTGGGACTGACTGCCAAGGAGCCCAGGCCAACAAAGGCTTTATTCACAATCACTGAGATATTACCTGGCAGTTTGCCTGCCTATCACGGTGCAAAACCAAAGTCTCCCCTGAGCCAGGGGCTCCGGGGCTCCATGGTGAGGGCTGTGCGCCCTGCAGAAGGGTCCGCAACCTCGGCACTGTGGTCCATAGCGGACTGGCCTAAGGGTCAGAGGGTCTCACTTGGGCGGACACAGTGACTTTAGCCTGGCTCGGCTCCCTCTGTCTGTCACACACCATCATGCTATCCTCCCTTGGGGATCCTTGTGCCTCACATTTCAGTCCAGTCTGTCCAGATGAGTGCAGCTGGGAAAGCCCATCTTCCAGCTGTGAGGGACAAGGCCGTGGCCCTGAAGCTCCCCCCTTCTCCTTTATCCCCAACAGGATCCCACCATCTTGGCTGTGAGGGAAAACCGAGGTAAGGGAGCTGCTCTGTCTCTATCTAGTAGGGGTGGCCAAAAATTGTGGTCTCTGTCCAGATTCCTTTTCTCCCCCTGGCCCCTTAATTTATGTGCCCAGGTCTGCCAGTGAGTGATTGAGTGTGTGTGTGTGTGTGTGTGTGTGTGTGGTGTGTGTGTGTGTGTGTGTGTGTGTGTGTGTGTGCGCGCGCGACGTGCTTTCCTGTTTGAGGCAGGGACACAGCTGGAGAGCACATTTCTTTCCACAAATGTTTTCTCATTATTTTTACCAGTTATTCCTGTGGTGTCCCTGGGAGATGGTGATGAGGTGGGATAATATCAGACTGGGGGTAGGGAGACAGAGTTAGCCCTGGGTTCTGGGTGGGAAAACTCTCCTTTGGGTAGGTTATAATTATTCTCCAGGTGGGCTTGGCTCATAAGCCTCATGTTTCCAATTCTCCAGGATGGGCTTGGGGAGAAGGTGAAAAAGAGTGTGTCACTAGGATTTCCCCTTGAGTCTCTCAAGCAGGACTTTGCCCTGTGGAGCTCATATCTCTTGATTCTTGGCCTGTGAGTCTCAGTCTTTTGGATTTCATGGACCAATAATATGTCTGCAATGAATTATTTTAGGGATCGACATAGAAATTGTCAGTTTTTATTTTGCCAAGCAATGACTTTTTTAAAGTAATGGACAATTATTCTGTTTTCCAAAAGGAGAAAAAAAAGACATTTAATAAACACAAATTAACGGTAATAGGTAAAAATAAGGACAGTGTTTAAAATGGAATGCCTGTCGTTTTCTGAGAAGCTCAAAACACACTCCTGCTTTTTCCTCATTTCACCACAGGTGGGTTGACACTGTGTCGGCTGTTAGAAAACAACTGGCATTTGGGGACAACCGTCCTAGAGTATCCCATCCTAGCCACTGCACGGCAATCAGACGGGGCTTGTGAGGCCTCACAGCCCTGCCTCCTGACCCTTTCCTTCCACAGAGAAAATCGTGGAAGCCCTGACCGCCGCCATCCTGGACCTGGTAGAGCTGTACTGCAACACGTTCAACGCAGACTTCCAGACAGCAGTACCTGGGAGCCACAAGCACGATCTGGTCCAGGAGGCCTGCCATTTCTCTGGGCCCCTGGCCTTCACTGTCTATGCCTCCCACCGCATCCCCATCACCTGGGTTACCAGGTAGGCCCAAGGCTGGGTCGCATCTAGGGAGAGGGCTGAGTTGGACTTGGAGATAACTTCTGTCTGTGTGTGACCCCACTGTCCTAAGTTTAGGATCTGTGGCAGGTGGTGCACACTGGCTGAGAGGGCCAAGTGCCCGAGGGGGACGCTGGCTGGGACCTCTCAGAAGAGGGAAGGTCCTTGGAAGCTGGAGGAGAGGCATCACGTGGGCTCCCCAGGGCTGGCTGCGTTGGCATCCCTGCCCCCTCCCACCAAGGCCTGCTGATGGAGATGTGGCGACAGATGGCCGCTTCCCAGATCCAGTGCCTGCACCATGGCCAATGACTGTGCTCCCCTGCAGATGCACAAAGGGAGGAGGTGGGGAGGTGGGAGGTGACCCTTTGTGTGGAGTTCCCTCAGCCTGGAGGGGTGGGTGGAGGGGGAGTTCATTTGGAAATCCTCAGGCCTCTGCAGGGTCCCGGCATCCAAGGCCTGGGGGAACAGGCGGTCAGCTCCACCCACCGCCCCTTCCGGCCCCTCCGCCCCTCCCTTCCCCTTCTCTCTTTGTTCCGCACTTAATGTATTCCTCTGGGCGATTGGCGGAGAACAAAGGAGGCAGCCTGGGAAACCGGGGCCTTCTCTGACCTCTTCTGTCAGGCACCTGTCACGAGCCACAGGGACCCCCGTGTGTTGGCATTCATGTCGGCATATGTCGTTTTCATCCTGCACCCTTCTCGCCTGCGCATGCGCGCGCGCAGGGGGACACCGGATGGGCTGGGAGCTGGCTGTCAGGGGGATGCCGCATGGCTGGTTCCCAATAGAGGGAAGCAAAACCCCAGGCCCGGCATGGAGCCTGAAACTGGGCAGAGCAATCCAGATTGAGTCGTTCTCCTGGAGTACACCTCTGCAAATCCAACTTGGCTGTGCTGCCCGGGAACCCCATGTTACAGGCCCCCAGAGACAGAGGAGTTTTACCAGGAGTGACGGAGCTTGGTATAGGTTGGGTGACTGAAATGGGGTTTGGGAGCTGAGTGTCCTGATTTGCTCCCTTTCTCTTGCAGCTATGAAGATTTCTACCTCTCCTGCTCCCTCAGCCATGGCGGCAAGGAGCTGTGCAGCCCCCTGCAGACCCGGAGGGTTCACTTCTCCAAGTACCTCTCCCACCTCATCATCTGGGACCAGCAGTAAGCCCTCCCCAGACTCCGGTGCCCTGACCTCTGCTGGTCTCGACCTCCCGAATGTCCAGACTCAGACTACAGGTCCACGCCTGCATTAAACCGGGCTCTGTCACAAACCCTAACAAGTCATTCAACATCTAAAGTGTCCATTTTCCTAACTCTTAAATGGGCACAAGTATCATTTCTACTGCTCAAGTTGTTAGGAGACTCCAACAAGAAGTATCCATAAAAGCCCTCTGTAAACCATAAAGGACCATATAAATGTTAAGTATTAGTTTTAATAATATTTCATTGTTGGGGTCTACTCTCCCTCAAAAGGTTTAACTAGTCTGAGTGATTCTCATCCTCTCCTTTTTCCAAAGCTTCCACAGCATAGGGAGAGGGGACTGTGATCTCTCCCTTATAGATAGAGAGGGGAAGGTTGACCAGAGGAAAGAATAAAAGACTTGGAGCCACAGGAGTAAGGCTGTATATCTTGCCCTTTCTCTAGTCCTAGGTTCTCTTTGGCCTCTCTGTGCCTCAGTTTCTCAAACTGTAAAGTGCGGACATTGCTTTAACCTAGGAGCAGTTGTGGCACTAAAATGAAATAGGTTATAAATATCAATATGAAACCACAAGCACAAGATAGGACTAATCACCATTTATTCAGCAATAATTTGCAGTTGGGCAGGTAGGCGTCAGCCAAGCAGTGTCCTGATAAAGTCCCCTGCCTTTTCTGTGGCGCTCTCTCTTCTCCCTTCAGACACTCAGAATACCCCTCCTTTGCTGCCTCCAGCTTTACTTCCCCAGACTGACTCTACACGTCCTTATTTGCAGAGCAGACCTGCAGCTTCAGTGCTTGGAGTGCAGATTAAAGAGACCAAGAGGGTCTTGGGGAGGCCAAGGATGCCAAAATAGGTAGATGGAGAGTCTGTGGAAATGCTGGGAGGGGTGGGTCTTTTTGTAGATGGACAGCTGAGGAGGCAGACCCTTTCTCCTATCTTCCCACTTGTGTAATTCTTAGAGCAAAAAAGGTGTAAATTAAGGGCTTTAATTAAACAACCACCACAGCCAGAGAGACACTTTGGAGGCAGAGGATGGCTACCTTAAATGGCTCTGGAGTTTCACCATCCCACTGAGAGTCTCTGGTCTCAGTTACTACTGATGCTAAGGGAGGGATGCTGCAGAGTGCTCCGGCCCAGATGGGCCTCCCAGAATTGGCCTTAGATCCTTTCCCAAGGGTATCAGAGGAATAGATAAGCTCCCCTGTTCCCTGATCTCTGCCTCAAGGCCTGAAGGCCTGGGCCCCTGCCCAGAGCCTCGTGGAAAGCATCATCTCAGTACATCCCATCCAGATACCCGCAGGAGACCTCTTGGCATCTTTTTGATCAAGACCAAGGCATGTGGGAGAAGGCCCTGCAGTGCAGGGTTCAAGGCACAGAGTGTGGGTGCTGTTAGCCTCCCCTTCTTGCTGTAGACATAACCACAGAGGTCATGCAACCCAAAGTGGAGTAGTAGTAACAGACCCACCCTCAGGTGTTTGAGAGCAGTTGGTACATTTCGAGTCATGTCCTTGGCACCATACCCAGCACATGATCAGTGCTTTCTTCTTCATCTCTGTCATCACTGTAGCTGGGGGAGCCCTCTCAGTCCTGCTTGCCCAGTTCCAAGTGACCAACACTGTGGCTGATACATGGAGACATTTGTGCATGAAAATACTATCTGTATAGCCCATTGCCCGTGCAGTAGGCACAATGGCACATAGCAAAAAGCACACAATGTGCACACACATTACTGGGTTCCCCTTTTCACCGATGAGGAAACTGAGGGGCACAGGTTTAATAGTTGCCCACAGTTGTGAGTGGCAGAACCGGGACCGGAACCCACACATCCCAGGAGCCCTTCCTGGAGGAGGCAACCCCTGTGATGCGATGTTGAGGAATGGCATGCAGAGGAGAGCAGAGGGGTTTCTCAGGTAGGGAAGAGGTTCAGGTCTTCAGCCAAAGGTACTGGTTATCCTACCTGACCATGGTGAAGGACCATGGGGGAGGCTTTGGAGTACCCGATATATTCAGGGACTGAGGAGAAGGGGGCCTTGGCTGGTCCTAGGGGTTATGGTTTCAGCTGGAAGTATCCTCACTCCCCCTTCTTCCAGATGCTGGAAGCCTCTTCTTGGGTGAAAAGAAAGGATCAGGACCAGCTCCCTCCCCTCTTTGCTATGGGGTCACCTGATTCTCTCTCCTACTGCTGCAGTACAGGGATCAGCCAACTCTCAAAATAGGCCCAGCAGCCACGCTGTGCTGCCCCAGCCAAGCCCTGGCCCGGCCTGGCCGCTGGCCGCTGGAGGGGCCCTAATTATAGCTGTGGGCCCCCCAGGGTAGAGGCAGCCGGGATAGAGCAGGGCTCTGCCACTCCCTGGCGGGAAGAGTGAGGGGCAGCGGTGCAGGAAGGCAGCTTTGTCATGAAACTTCTAACCTTGGGCATGGCCACCCTGCCTCTGTGCCCTCTGGCATAGAAGCTGCTGGGCCCTGGGCTGGCCTGGAGGGTGTGACAGTGTGGACTTTGGCCCAGGCGCAGCTTCCCCAAAAGGTAATATGGATCCTCCCTCTCTGCACAGTTCCCCTCCCCTCTCTGTCCCACCCATTGCAGTTGCTTATCTTGAGCTTGGAGGGAGTGGCTGGGTCTGACTCAGGCCGAGGATCCCAGGGGAGAACATTGGGGCGTGGGTGGTGGCAAGACTTCTGTGTCTCCATCTTCTGGCCCTGTCACTTTGCATTCGCACTCCCAGGGGACCTCTTCTCTTTATCCCTTTGGCTTTGAAAATGTTTTGGGGTGAGAACAAACCATCCTTCGGCCTGCAGATGAGGAGAAGAAGGGGACAGGAGAGGAGAGACAGGTGGGAGGACTGTGGGGAGAATGAGCAGAGGGCAGAGAACTGGGCTGCTTCCAGTTGCTTTAAGCAGCAGGAAGTGGGGGAGGGATGGGGATTGTGCCGTGGAAAAGGATTGGCAAAAGCAGCAGCCTCTTGGTGACCCTCTGCAGAAACCCTCAAACAAGGGAAGGAGTATGGCTTCCAGTTCAGGACATGTAGTCCCCTGAACTCCGAGATGGTTTTGGCTTAATGAGTTCTGTCTGGTCAGCATGGATAGTCTCAGAATCGGAACGTGCCTCACTCTGCTGAGAGGCTGCAGAAACACCAGGCGGTGCTTCTGCAGGAAGCCTTCCAGCAGCACATCCGATATCCTGAAAAGGAGGTTGAATTCTCAGCCTCAGTTTGACTTCTGGGCTACATATCCCATGAAGCCACAAGGGTGGCACCTCCTGACTTGATTTTCTGTGCCCCCAGGATCTGCTTCCCGGTGCAGGTAAACCGGCTGCCTCGGGAGACCCTTCTGTGCGCCACTCTCTATGCTCTGCCCATCCCCCCACCCGGGTGCTCCTCTGAGGCCAATAAGCAGCGGAGGGTGCCTGAAGCCCTGGGCTGGGTCACTACCCCACTCTTCAACTTCAGGCAGTAAGTGGGCCCCAGGGCAACAGCTTCTTGGCTTTGGAAGGGAAGGCGGGGGGAGAGGGAGGGGCCTGACTGCTGGGCCAGCCAATGCCCCTTGGGGGTCCGGCCGTCTAGGGCTCACCAGTAGGGTCTGGAGGTCCCAGCCCTGGTGGAAGGGGCACAGGCGCAGACTACAGACCAGGACGGTCGCTATAACCAAGAGCTACCAGGCTTCCCTGCTACCAGGTCATCCAGACCAGTGTGTGGTTAGCTCAGAAAGGCTTCCTGGATGAGGTGGGCTTTTATAGGACTTAGAAGAAGGAAAAGGCCATGGGCTAAGGGGAGAATGAGGGGAGGTAAGTTGTGGTTTTAAGCAAAAAAGGCAAACTTTTGGATAGGGGTTGCAGGGGGAAACCCATCTCCGCAGCCTCTGGGTCTGTGGCTCATCCCCTTCTCCCACCTCCTCAGAGTCCTGACCTGTGGCCGGAAGCTTCTTGGCTTATGGCCAGCAACGCAGGAAAACCCCAGTGCCCGCTGGAGTGCACCTAATTTCCACCAGCCGGATAGTGTCATCCTACAGGTGAGACCCCAGCCCCGTCCACGCACTACGCACCCAGCAGGACCACTGGAGAGCCAGGTCCCCCTGGAGGTTTGCTCTGGGCGGCAGGAGGAAGTGCTGGGTCTGTGGGCATGGGATGGCGGTGTGACTGAAACGGCTGCGTGCCCATGGGGAGAGCTGGGGTGGCAGCAAGTGCTTGGATTAACTTTGGTTCCAAGGAGCCTGAAGCCAGGATCCCACCCCAGGGCTCAGCTCCTGGGTCTCTGTACTAAACCCACTTATGCCTACGATAGTGCCGCCCCCTTGGGCCCTGAGGGGAAGAGCTCCCCCAGCCAGTCTCTCTTGCAGGGTGGACCCATTCCCTGGGGGAAGAAGGCGCTGGTCAGGCCAAGGTCTAGTTACTCTCCTCCAGCTCCCCTTTCCCACAGTCATGAGCTGCTTTGGTATGGAATGTGGAGTATCAAAGTGGATGTAAAATTAAATAAGATGACACAGAATGAGAGTTCCAGGAGGCACATGTTTCTGTCTGTCTGACTTACTGTTCTGTGCCCAGGGCCTAGAACAACGCTTGGCACCTACTAGGGTTCAGTAAACATTTGTTGAATGAGGGAATGTTGGCCTTCTTTTCAGAACTGGCTCATTCAGCTCTGATACCCATTTTAGGAGGATGGACATCGATGTGGTGGCATAGAGCAAGGGGCCCAGTATTGCATGTAGGCTTCAGAGTTGGTAGAGCCCTCTCCTGGTATGTGTCCTGTTCCCCCCACCCACAATCAAGCAGCACACTGGTGACCTCCAGAAGCACACTGAAGGCCCCCCGACCTCGGCTTGGAGGCACCCAGTGGCTCAGCCTGGTAACATTTCCGTGCGGAGTTCTGGCCTGGGGCCAGTCCCTCACCGAGAGGCACCTCAGCCCACCTCTCCCTCACTTGCCCATTGTTTTCTCTTTGTTTCCCTCACTTCTTGCCGGAAGTCACAGCCAGAAAGGACTTCAGAGATCACCCAGTCCAACAGGGTTATTTCACAGAGAAGGCTGAGGGGGAGGCAGGGAGAAAGGCAGGGACGCTGGCGTGTGACCCTGTGGGTGGCAGCCCCCATTCACCTGTCTGTTGTCCCCTTGCTTCTCTGATGCCACCCCTAGATTGACTTCCCCACCTCGGCCTTTGACATCAAGTTCACCAGCCCCCCTGGCGACAAGTTCAGCCCCCGATACGAGTTTGGCAGCCTCGGAGAGGAAGACCATCGTGTGCTTAAAAACATCATGCGGAAGGAGTCCCTGTACTGGTGAGGCCTGGGGTGTCCTTCCCTGTGTGTGGCTCAGGCCCCCACCAGTCTGTCACCTTCTAGCTGACCATCTCTCACCCCCCTGCAGGTCCCTGTCCTCCTACTTAGGGTATAGAGGTGGGGTGGGGTGGGCAGAGCCTCCTAGGCAGGCAGTGGTGGAGAGAGGGTTCTGCTAGGGCAGTGCCCAGGCCTTTTCCATGAGTTGACACTAGGCACAGTGGAAGGTCAGGGGCAGGACACTGGACCTGGGAATGCCCATCCCCACAATGGGGACTTGGCCGCGACTTGCCGGGAGGTCCAGAGCTTTGCCCCACACCCCAGAGAAGCTGGCTACTACTTGCTATCCGCCGGGGCACTGCCGTGCTCACCACCCCGCCCCCACCTCCTGCCCCTTCCACGCCCACAGCCTTTGCCTTTCTCTGGCCCTGTCACTTTCCAAAAAGGATCAGGTGTCAAGGCAAGCTGGCAGCTCTCAGGGGTAAGCGAGTCCAAGCTGATCTCATCCTTGGGCTGCGTCTCTCACCAGGATTGGCTAAGGGGGGTGACGAGCCAGAGGTGGAGGAGCTGGTGGGAACTCCTTCCCTGCCCGTCCTCTCTGTATATCATCTCTCTGGCTTCTGCATGTGTCTGTGCACGTGGCGGGTGGGGAGAAGTGAGAGGTGGGGCTCATCTCTCCCTGCCAGGCCCCTGCTAGGAGCTCGAATAGCTGAGTGACTGCAGACCCTGCTCCCACTCCTCTGCTGACCCCTTGCTTCATTAGGCCCTCAGCTCCCTCCTCCCATTAGACACCTGGTCTCAGGCAAGCCTCATTAGCTGTAGGGTCTAGAAAACCTCCAGCTGGCTCCAGGAGGCCCGGGAGGCCACTCAGCTGCCCGTCCCTGACTTGTGGGGACCACTGCCCTCTGGTGGCTCCACCTGGGAGCAGCGCCCAGGGGCATCCTCGGGATGGATGGTGCCCTTGGCCTGTGCCTTGGGCCTCATTCGGAGACGAGACATCCCTAAGTCAGAATCAAAGATGAGATGGGCCCTGGTTCCCAGACTTGACTTCACACATTGCAGTCACCCAGGGGGCATTTAAAAATACCAAAGCCTGGCTTCCCCTGGCATCCCAACTTAATAGTGTTGGATGTGGCCACAGGCAGGGATTTTACAGAGCTCCTCTGGTGATTCTAACATGCAGCAGTTGGGGAACCACTGAGTGGGACAGTGTGAAGCAGTCCCCTGGAGAGGGGATACCCTGCCCTCTGTGCCCTCTCACCTCCCCCAACCACCCCTCTCCGCTTCAGGCTCACTGATGTGGACAAGAAGCGCCTGTGGGAGAAGCGATACTATTGCCACTCTGAGGTGAGCTCACTCCCCCTGGTGCTCGCTAGCGCCCCCAGCTGGGAGTGGGCTTGCCTGCCCGACATCTATGCACTCCTGAAGCAGTGGACCCACATGAACCACCAAGATGCCCTGGGGCTCCTGCATGCCACGTGAGTGTAACGCCCACCTTTCCCAACCACGCGTCTTTCCAGAAGCCAGAGCTTGGCACTGCCCATCCCTGACTTGAGCCAGCCCTGGACAAAAGAATCAAGGGAGCTTGGAACTCAAGGCATTTCTGCTTCTTCTCTATGTTATCTTCCTAACACTTTTTACACATACAGCAGAATTGAAAATTCTACAGTAACCATCCACATACCCACCACCTAGATAACCGTTAGCTTTTGCTCTATTTGCTTTATTGTGTGGGTATCCATCCGTCCATCCATCAAGCCATCTTACTTTTTGCATGCATTTCATTGTAAATTATAGACACCATAACTGTCTCCCAGATACTCACCACGTGCATCATTAACTTGAGCTCAGTATTTGTTCACTTTTCTTTGGAGGCAGAATTTACATATAAGGAGATGCTCAACACTTACCCATACATTTGCTGAATTTTGACAAATGCACACATCTTTGTAGCTCAAACCTTACCATGTAGTTCCACTTTAACAATCCTCCCTCCCCTCTTCCTCTGGAGGGTTCTCCGGAGTACACAAGGCTCCCAGTCTCAGACCCCTGAGCTGCCTTTTCCAGATGGTACCCAGTATTCTCAGCTTTTTTCTCACCACCCTTAGTAATTGAAGGGTACTCGATCCATGTGTCTTGCCTTCAGGATCTTTTGGGGCAGTGATTTTGCTAATTTCTGCTGAACTAAATTCTGCCAGAGTGTACTGGCTTATATAAAATTCCACGGGTTTCTCTGACTCGTGTGGCAAGCTTTGCGTTAAAGGGTGATACCAAGACAGTAATGCTTCGACTCATACAAGGGCTTTTTGATGTTGGGAATTTAGGGAGTCAAGGAAGAGATCTTAGGGAGTGGGGTTGAGGACCTTGTCCCATTTTCTTCAAATCATATGGAATGAAACAGACGACCCCCTCATCCCTCCGTGGCCTGAGGCCAGCTCTGACCAAGGGGCAGGACCATTCTCAAGCACTGTTGTCCGGAGAAGGTGCTGAGGGTTCTTCTAGTGGCTTTTGCAGACCGTGGGGCATATTGTGCTTTCTCCACCCATGCCTCTGAAGCACAGTGGTGAGGGTACCTGCTCACTCCAGCCCCGCAAGGCCTGTGGCTGTGGCTGGCTTATCGGGTCCCTGGGCTCTGTTCTGCAGCTTCCCGGACCAGGAGGTGCGCCGTATGGCTGTCCAATGGATTGGTTCCCTGTCGGACGCCGAGCTGCTCGACTACTTGCCCCAGCTGGTGCAGGTTGGCAAACTAGCCTTCCCTCCCCTTCTGATGATCCCGCTCCCCAAGCCTCAGTCTGTCTGCATTCTGCCCCTTAGAGCCTGAGGTCGCCGAGGGATAGTGGCAGGTGTAGATGACAGGGAGTCACTGCAGCCTCGGATTCCCTTTCTCCAAAAAACAGGCCCTAAAGTATGAGTGCTACCTGGACAGCCCCTTGGTGCGCTTCCTCCTGAAACGAGCTGTCTCTGACTTGAGAGTGACTCACTACTTCTTCTGGTAAACTATGTGCAGAAAGGTGGGAGGTGGACACGTGTCCTTCACTCGCAAGTATTTCACTCTTAGGCACGCACGGGTGGGGAGCTGAGCTGGCTGGGTTCCAGTGTGGCACCGACGTAGCAGGTGGGCTTGGCCAGCACCTTTCCTTCAGGGACTCCCAGTCCCATATGGCATGGTGACAATCGTCGCTGACCCTCCTTCCCACCCACACAGGGCAGAAATATCAAGGAGAAATGAGATGCACAGAGGTTCTGGACTCTTCTTAATCACATAGTGGGCACAGACTGGGATACAGAGAAGCACCTCTGCATGAACTAGGCATACACAGTCTGTTTTCCCTCCCAAGTTTGGGGTGGGTTTTCCAGGGAGCTGGAGCTGGTTAGACCCCTTTCCCGCCGTGCATGCCTGGCTTGTGATCCCCCAGGTGTCCTGACTCCCCACTCTCTCTCCTCGCAGGTTGCTGAAGGACGGCCTCAAGGACTCTCAGTTCAGCATTCGTTACCAATACCTGCTGGCAGCCTTGCTCTGCTGCTGTGGCAAGGGGCTGAGAGAGGAGTTCAACCGCCAGTGCTGGCTTGTCAACACCCTGGCCAAGCTGGCCCAGCAGGTCCGGGAGGCTGCCCCGTCTGCACGGCAGGTGAGTCTGCACGGCAGGTGAGTGCGGTGAAGCTGCCTTTACCCATTTCTGGTTCCGGGCTTCTGCAGCCAGTCATTAACTTCTTAGGCATCCTGATCAGCCAGATGACACTTGACAACCTCTGTTTAGGGGCTGGAAGGAGGTGGTTCTGTCTGTAACGTTCAGGCCACACATGACAGTCTGCGAACTGGGTACAGCCCATGGAGGTGTTTTGTTTGGCTGGAAAAGTATTACGATTATTTAACTGTTTGCCTTAAAGGCTAAGACCAGTTATGTAAGCTGTTCACTGCAGAAGAGCACTTAGCCAGAGGGGGCAAGTGCAGGCTGAAATCCCGTCATGCTTTGTTCCCTCTGGCGTGAGTCATAGTCCAGGGCTGCTGTCACCCAGACGTACCTGTATCTCTTGGCACAGAGGGGCTGTATTAGGCCAGCAGCGTTTCTGGTTGCTAACATTAAAAAATTAGGAGATTTTAAAGTCCCGATTGTTGGCTTTTCTTGGCAGCAGCCTGAGTAGCACCTCCCCGGGAGATGCAGCCTGCCCTCTCGGTTCACTGTGGCCTGCGGCACACGGCCCTGTCGCCTGCCCGGCCTCCCTGGCTGTCGGGCTTGCTCTGCACGCACTGTGCTGGGCTGGGGTACGGGTTGGATGGTTCTCCTTCTTCATAGTCTCCTGGAGGTTGTCTGCACTTCTCAGGTGGTTGTTTCTATACCAGCCATTACTGGGCATCCACCCCTGTGAGAGGCCTGGTTCCGAGTGGAGCTAATGGGCCCGCCACCTCAACCCTCTTCTCCCCTTCCCTTCCCTCCCAGGGGATCCTCCGCACAGGCCTGGAGGAGGTGAGGCAGTTCTTTGCCCTCAATGGCTCCTGCCGCCTGCCACTCAGCCCCAGTCTGCTGGTGAAGGGCATTGTGCCCAGGGTGAGTGACTGGTGGCTTTGGGGCTCTCAGACTGGGGAGGGTCCTCATGCAGCTGATTATTGAGAAATATGAGGAAGAAAGGCATACCTGGAGCCTCTTCCCAGCCCTAATGCCTGTGGACCTCTGCCTGACAGCTGTGAGCATGGCAGAAGTGGGTTGGGGCTGGTGAGTGTCTCTCCTGATGATGGTGGCTCTGAGGCCAGGCTGGTGATACTGACAGCAGTATCATCTGTCATTTGTGAGCACGGTCCCTGTGCCCTGCATTTTTCTAAGTGCTTTACTCTGGTTATTGCATTTCATCCTCACCACTCTTACGAAGTTGGTGGTGTTGTAAGCCCCATTTTACAGAGGAGTGAACTGAGGTTTGGATGGGCAACTAGTGAGATGGGTACAGAATGAACTGAAGGGGTGAGAGGTCAGGTGCCAAAGCTAAGGTCCTGGCCAGCGGAGCCGGGATGATGACAGTGGGGAGGGAGGAAGGGATGGGGGCTCCTGAGGAAGTGGGAAGGAGCAGCAAGCAGGTGGACTGGCAGCAGCTTGACCCCATGTGCTTTTTCTTCCTGGGCATGGACCTCCCCGACCCTCGTCACCACCCTCTCTGCCGCGGCAGGACTGCTCCTACTTCAACTCCAACGCAGTCCCCCTCAAGCTGTCCTTCCAAAATGTGGATCCCCTGGGCGAGAACATCCGTGTCATCTTCAAGGTGAGGACACTGCTATGCAGTGCAGTGGGACACTGGCGGCAGAGGGCAGGGGAGGAGGGAATCTAAGGATGGCAGAAGCAGCCACCAGGCAGCTCTCTGCCTGTTACTCTATGCTGCCATTTAATATCCAAAAGACTCTTTATGGAAAAGGCAGTCAACTAATTCTGCATGAACTAGGAGCAAAGGACTGGGAGCACAATGTTGAGAGGTGTAGGAAGGCACCGACAGCTTAGTGTGCAGAACTGCCCTCTAGAGGCAGAACTACCCCAACGATGCAATGATAAGGTGGTGATCTGCTTGTCCTGGGGGTATTCAAGCAGAGGCTGAATGACTACTGGCAACAGTACTGAAGAGGAAACTAAGATAATAGATGCAGGTTGGACTAGATGAACCCTAAGGGCCTTTCTAATAGATACATCCATAACTGAGTAAATGAGTCTCAGAGCATATAATCTAGTGGGAGAGATGAAATGCACACATGTACATAACTTTGTAACTTACAATATATATTTGTTGTTTGTACGTTCCAAATCCAAGGTGTAAACATTCCAATTTACAAAAGGCTTGATAGTCAGGAGGGCTTCATGAGGAACCCAAGTTCAGTTCAGATGGGGATGTGGGATTGAGGGAAAAGCTGGAACACCAAGTGGGCAAAATGTGGTTCTGGCCGATCTCTGGTTGCTTGACCGGCCGTGAGCTGAGGGAGCGAGTCAGAGGTGTGAGGCGGGGAAACTGGGCAGGCCCCTGGCCCTGGTGTTTGGGCCAAGGCTGCCCTCCTGGGAGATCTGGGAGCTAGGGAGGCAGTGGAATGGGTGCTAGTCACTTTCTTCCTTCATCCAGTGTGGGGACGACCTTCGCCAGGACATGCTCACCCTGCAGATGATTCGAATCATGAGCAAGATCTGGGTGCAGGAGGGGCTGGACATGCGCATGGTCATTTTCCGCTGCTTCTCCACTGGCCGGGGGAGAGGTCAGTCGGGAGCGGGTGGGGCTGTGGCTTGGCAGCCAGTATGGCAGGCACCTCTTTGCTTTCTGCCCTTTCTGCCCATCCCCCAACAAGAACTGTGTACTTCTCCAGACAAATGACAAAAGCAAGATTATTTCATTAGAAGTTGTGGAATGCCATTGAAAAAGAAGGCAGGGAGAAAGACTCTTATAAAGTAAAACAGACTTGGAGACCTAACAACCAAACATATGTAGACTTTGGATCCTGATTCAAACAAGCCAACTATAAAAATATATTTTTTGGACAATTGGGAGAAATTTAGATAACACACTGGGTTAGATTTGCCTAAAGAACAATCGTTAATTTTTTAGATGTGGTAATGGCATGGTGGTTATGACCTTGTTAGTTTGTTAGTTGCACTTGAAATATTTTTTAGTGAAATGACATGTCTGGGATTTGCTTTAAAACACTCCAGTCAGGGTCAGGGAGTAAAGCAGGGTTGGATGAGTGAAATAGATGAAACAAGATTAGCCAAAGACTGATAATCATTTGACACGGGGTGATGGTTATCTGAATTCATGATACCATCCTCTTTATTCTTTATGTGTATTGGAATATCCCCATAGTAGAAGTTAAAAAAGGAGCAGGCGCTCTGAAATGGGGAGTCTGCATGGGCTGTGGGACCTAGGGAATGACAGACATCGCTCCCCCTTACTGTCAGGCTTTGTCCAGATGTCCTTGGGCTGAATTTCTAGGGAAGCATCCAGAAAAGCTCCTGTAGTCCTCTCCCGAAAGTCCCTTCTCCCTGCTCTGGAGATGACCCCAACGCCTCCTCCCACAGGGATGGTGGAGATGATCCCTAATGCAGAGACCCTGCGCAAGATTCAGGGGGAGCATGGGGTGACCGGCTCCTTCAAGGACCGGCCCCTGGCCGACTGGCTGCAGAAACACAACCCCGGAGAGGACGAGTACGAGAAGGTAGGACTGGGGGCAGGGGGACAAGGCTGGGGAGCTGCACCTGACCCTGCACATGGCTGTGTCACCACCAGGTCTAGGTCTGTTCAGGCTCAGCTATGTTGGGAGGAAAGAAATGCTCTTTCTTGTTTGACTGGTGCTTCCAAGTATCTCGGGGTGGTCAAATAGTCATTTGAGAATAGTCATTTGTAGGCTGAGAAAATCCCCTGGTATTCAAGTGAGAAACCTTTATTGAGTTTTGGAGAAGGGGGCCAGTTTTTGAGAAGTTGCCTTTTTCCCTCCTAATCATGGATCCTGTTCATTCCCCCGATGCCCACCGAGGGGTGCGATGGTACTTTGTAGAACAAGAGTTAGTTAGAAGAGAGACCTTAGAGATTATTTTAATCTAAGACCTCTTTTCATAGCTGTGAATTAAGATTTACTCAGTTGTTCCTAGTTATGGAGCTGGTTTGTAGCAAGGCTGTAATTAGAAGCCAAGATTAAGGTTTGATACAAGACAGAGAGGATAGAAAAACGTGCCGATCTGTTCCTCAGGTGGAGCTCTCCTGGGTAGTGAAGACCTTGGGGGCTTGTTCCGGTCTATGGCTGGTCCACAGCTTCCCAGCTCTAGTCTCTGGGTTAATTAAGTTTAGAGGAGGGAATAAGTTGTAATAAACAAACTCCTAAGAGACTGACTATAAGCCAGAATGCTTTATATAATTTAACTTCCAAGGGGATCCAAATACTAATTAAATTAATTAATCACTGCATTTAGGTCACTATGCATTGATCAATATAAATTAGTATTTGAAGTTATATAAATTAACATTCTGAGGGAAAACCTAATGGACAGCCAAATTAAATCAGAATGTTGTTTATATCTAATTAGATTATTTTTGGCGGGGGAGTAGAGGTTTTTTTTTAATTGATATATAATTATAATCTTCTATTAGTTTCAAGTATACAGCACAGTGGTTCAACAGTTAGCCATATTATTAAATCCTCACCCCCACTAGTGCAGCTACTATCTGTCAGCATAGAAAGACGTTACAGAATCATTGGCTATATTCTCCATGCCATCCTACTATCTCCCTGACCAACCTACATTATGATGGAGAATTTCTGTGCCTCTTTATCCCCCTCACCTTCCCTACCCACCCACCCACCCCAAATCCTCCCCCCTAATAACCACCAGTCCCTTCTCAGTGTTCATAAGTCTACTGCTATATAAAGCCTTTTGTAATCCATCCCTGCCTGCCCTGTAGTCCCGTCCACAGCCCTTCCCCATCTCATGGTGGCTTATGCTTTAGCTTAAGGGGCTACTTCCATTTCCTCGCTACCTTTACGTGATAGTATTCCCTTTGCCTGGAGAACCATTTCTTCCCCTATCTATCTCTCAAAACCCACCCCCTCTCTTTTGCAAACTTTAAGGTCCTCTACCCTTGGAGAGTAGTAATATGGACTTTTCCCTTCCCACCCATATATTATGTATATTGACATGTATTTTTCATGTATTAAATAGCCACCACACCAAGGTGCTGTTCTTGGTGCTGGAATTATGATTACTCCCTGTCGATGTGATAGTCACAATTAATTGATAGAAGTATATACAATAAGAATACACACTCTGAGAAACTATGTCTTAATATTTACTCTCAGTCTCTCAAAGACAGCTTCTCAGCTCTTATAGCCTTTTTACTAGACTAGTGCTGGCATGTTCTTACGATGACTTCCAGTAGGAAAGAACTAGAGAGATTTGTCTCTTGGCCACTAGCTCAGCAGAGAGAGTTCCACATCTTACAAGTGAGACTCTTAAATCAGGAGGGCTCCCTTTGTGTGGTGAGACTTCCTACCAGAAAGCAGTTAACACCCTGCGTAACTTAGGTGAAGAGACTTCAGTCATTTACCCATGGGCATACAGCTGTTTTGTGAGTCAAAAACAGGATGCAGTTCAGGTAGAAGGAATATCTGTGACAGGAAAACAAGTTGATGGTGATGAAGGGCAAGAGTGGAGTTGAAGGATTGTAGCCCTTATTGAGTGGTTTCTTTTCATTCATACATTTCCCTTTCATAGAAAGTCTTTGTCTTCTAGAAGGTACGTGGGATTTCTTTACAAACCTTCTGTTCTTGTTACCTGTGAATCAGGCATCTGTTTGAATTTGACAGGTAGCCGGGAGGTTTCAGTGTGTAGGTAGTTTTGAAACAGGCCTTGTGGACAGCCAGGAAGCTGCTGGGGTATGAGATCCCTATACCCACAGGGAGAAAAAAGCCTAAGTACTAAGTGAACAACAGTGAGGGCAGTAGGACCCAGGGGCTCCATGGGGGAGGAGCCAGTGTGAGCAGGGGAAGGTCCTTGAAGAATGAGTGGGCATTTGCAGAGGGAGGCAGAGAGGGCGCGTGTTCTGCACGTGGGAAGCTTTGTCTTATTCCTGGCATTGTACATTCCCACTTGGCTACGATAATTCTTGCCCTTGGCAGATGATGACTTTCTTGAGTTCTTGGCAATTCTGTGAGCCTCCCGAAGAGCATTTAGAAAACGAAAGGTGTCCATTTGATAATTCCATGTATTTTTACTTCCTGGAAAGTTAAGGGGACAGATGTTGACCAGATAAAATGAGATGGATATAACCCCTTATCTCCTCCCTTCTTGCTTTAAACTGAAAAATATCTCTAACACATTTTACCAAGCAGAGACGTCTGATTTTCAAGTGTAAAATACTCCCTAGAAGTGTTAAGCTGCCTTAGCTCTTCTTTGGAACGAAGTGACTTTAATTAGATCGGCATGTAGCTGTTACCAAGAATTGGGAATGGGGGTTGTGTAGGGGGCAGGAGCAAGAAGGCACCCTTAAGTTCGCTCTCTCAGTGCTATGCTTGACTTAAGGCGGTCACCGTCAGCTGGGAAAGTTGTGAACATTAGCCTTCCTGTCCATTAAGGTCAGGGCTGGTTAAATCTAGGCTCCCGGATGATTTCACTGTCTTTGAATCAATCTCCCTAAGAAAGAAAGGCACAGAAGAAGATGAATTGCAGATAAAGTGGTGGAGATACACATATAAGCCTTTGATCTCCTTATACCCCATAAGATATGAGAGACGTTTCTATGTGTATGTGTGTATGTTAGGATGTGATGAAGGATGAACAGGCAGGTAGGGGCAGGGCTCATGAGAGAAAGGCCAGGGCTGGCTGAATTCAGTCCGGCTGTGGCCCCTGGAGTCTTTCTCAGCCAGCTTTGTATCCTCTGCTTCTCTTCTCCCAGGCTGTGGAGAACTTCATCTATTCCTGTGCTGGCTGCTGTGTGGCCACATATGTCTTGGGCATCTGTGACCGACACAATGACAACATTATGCTGAAGACGACTGGCCACATGTTCCATATAGATTTTGGACGTTTCTTGGGCCATGCCCAGATGTTTGGCAACATCAAGCGGTAAGTCGTCTCCTGAAGCTAGGATGTGTGTGTAGGGCCAGGAGGTCATCAGCAGAAACGGTTCAGAGCTGGGACACAAGCCCAGAAGGGAAGGGGCTGCATTTCAGAGTGTGGTCCCTGAGCTGAGCAGCTTTGGAGAAGAGAAGACTGACAAAGAGGTCATGTCCTTGCAGGGCCTTGCAGAAGGCTGGGCCCAGCTGTTCTCCCTCCCTGCGGAGGGCTGAGTAAAAGGAAAAGAGCCCAAACCATATCAAGAGGGAATACTATTAGATACCCAGGAAAAAGTATTGCTAACTTACATCCAGGGAACCAGGGAAGAATGTCGCTGGGGATCTTAAGACAGGAAAAGAAAAAAAGAGGGCCCCGTCTATCCAGTTTCACGCAGGTAGTGAGCGATGAAGGGAACCATCCCCTGATGCAGCCCGCAGGTGGGCTTCCTCTTCTATGCTGACCTTCTGCCTGTATGTTCCCCTTGGCCCAGGGACCGTGCCCCCTTTGTCTTCACCTCGGACATGGCGTATGTCATCAACGGGGGCGACAAGCCTTCCAGCCGCTTCCATGATTTTGTTGACCTTTGCTGCCAAGCCTACAACCTCATTCGCAAGCACACCCACCTCTTCCTCAACCTTCTGGGCCTGGTGAGGAGCTCCGTGCCTTTCTGAACCCTCCACTTACCATCTGGCACCATCTTTAAGATGCTCCTGTTTTAATTCAAAGGATTTCTGGAGATCAACTTCTCTGAGCTGTAGATAAAGGCAGGGCCCAGACTGCCGGGTCAGTGATGTCTGTGCAGGAGTCTGACTTTCTGCTCCAGCCTCAGTCCCTGTGGCCCTCAGCCACTGCCCACAGCATCTGTCTGCCACCTTCTAGGAGGGTTAAGGAACCTAGCTATAGAAAATCTTGCCTTGGTGGGGGAAGAAGGAAGAATTCCTGGTTGTTACAGGCACCCTCTCTTCTTTGTTTCTCCTTCTAGATGTTGTCCTGTGGCATCCCTGAACTGTCAGACCTGGAGGACCTCAAATATGTGTATGATGCCCTGAGGCCCCAGGACACAGAGGCCAATGCCACCACCTACTTCACTAGGTAACACTGCATAAAACGTGCTGCTCACCCTGAGAAATTAACTTCCAGGCTGCCTGACGGAGGAGCAGGGCTAGGGAGACAGGAAAGGCTTAGCTCAGATGGCAGGGCTGGGAGCTGACAGCCTGGGTCTGTCATCCCAACTTTGCCCCTGACTTAGATAAGTCACTTTACTTCTCTCAGACTCAATTTCCCATCTGCACTTTTGTGCTAATATTTATAGACGTATTATAATCTGACTCTTGCATCCTCACCAAGTCTTGGTCAAAGACTTTGTTCATGGGGCAAATACGGACTTTTTAGTAGTTTTTCACTTTGCTGATCAGAACATTCTCCCATATCAAAACACGGAATTCCATACTTCCATTTTCCCATGTTTGACAATAGGTTTAGGCACATCGTGTAGGAAAGCAGGGAAGTGTCTGTGTTCTAATGTCCACAGTTTTGTCTGTGTAGAGGATGTCTCCATTTTAGCATGCACTGCTTCCATTGGTTTAATATAGCACCTTTCCTTTTGAGCTGAAATCTGGACTGCACAGTGCCTGGTGAGGTTGTATTGTACTGCACCTTGAAATTCAGTTTGACAACAGTGTTTAGACATTTACATGGTGACCAGTGGAATCTCTAATTCCTTCTTACGTTGGCTGAACTCTGAAATGCCTTTGGTTCAGGAGGGCAGTGAGGGGAGGTAAGACCCCAGGACTCAGATGAATAAATTGCATACAGATAATTCTTTGGCAGTAATAGAGGATATTACACGGGTAAAACGATTTGATCTGAGCTGAGTTAGTCCCAGGTATGGGGTACTCCTGAGATAGCCCTGTCCGTGCAGGGGGACTCGAATCCATGGTACATCCTTTTCTTTCCACCCTCCTGCACCAACAGGTTGATTGAGTCCAGCCTGGGCAGTGTAGCCACAAAGCTCAATTTTTTCATCCATAACCTGGCTCAGATGAAGTTCACGGGCTCAGACGACCGGCTGACCCTTTCCTTTGCCCCCCGAATACACACTCTCAAGAGCTCTGGCCGCATCAGTGATGTTTACCTCTGTCGCCATGAGAAGACCTTCCAGCCCAAGGGCTACGTAAGTGTTTTCTCCAGTCCGGCTCTCTCTTGCTCCCCACAGCCCCAGCATATTGGGGTTGGTTTCTCACATGCACATGGTGGGTGCTGAAGTTACCTGAGTGTCCTGTGTCCTGTGCTGGCAGCAATCGCAGGCCACCTCCCGACCCCTTGCCCAAGGGGCCTGCCTTGAATCAGGGAGCTGAATTGGATGGTTATTCCCTCCGAGTCAAGGGTCCTGCAAAATGTGCAGGAAATCTTTGCTTTCAGATTCCTGCATAGGTACTATTATCTTTGTCTCCATTAGAGACATTTATCCTCTTCCTTCTGGAAGGTGTACTTTCCCCAACACACACACACACACACACACACACACACACACACTTCGGTGTGTCTTACCTTCCTCCTTTATTGAGCACAGATGGTTTGGCAAGTATACACTAAGATTTGGACCTTTGCAGGTTTATGTGGTAAAGGTGATGCGAGAGAACGCTCACGAGGCCGCCTATATCCAGCGGACGTTTGAGGAGTTCCAGGAATTACACAATAAACTGCGGCTGCTCTTTCCTTCTAACCTTTTGCCCAGGTAGCTGCCCCCTTTGCACAGAGGGACCTTGGGGAGGGCGGGGAGACCGGATGAGGGGTGGCCAGCACTGCGGGAGTGCGGAAAATACCCTTTCAGAGTAAAGATCGACTTGGTTTTCTTGGCCTGGTAATGAGTTTGATAAGGAGTGCGCCCCCTGCAGACCAAGCTTGCCGGCGCTCAAGGGCTCTTAAAACAGCCTTGGGATAAGCCGGAGCCCACCTGCTGCAGGGAGAGCAACCTGGGTCTGAAGGCAGGGAATTGACCCAATCTGGAGATGTTTCCCAGTTTCTAATCTTTTACAGAGTAAGGGCATTTTTCAAATAGGTAAACAAAATGTGATATACACATACGATGGAATATTAGCCTTAAAAAGAAGGAAATTCTGGCACATGTTAAAATATGGATGAACCTCGAGGGCATTATGCCAAGTGAAAGAAGCCAGTCACAGGACAAATGCAGTGTCCACTGCCGTGCAGCACATAGTCAAGTTCACAGAGACATAGAGCAGAGTGCTGCCAGCCAGGGGCTGGGGGAATGGGGAGTTGTTCGCTGGGCTGAGTTTCAGTTTCGCGAGATGAAAAGGCCTGGAGATGGACGTTGGTGATGGCTGCAGGGCAGGGCGTGCTGTAATGCCGCCCAACTGTACACTTAAAGCTGGTTAAGATGGCGAATTTGATGTTATGTGTTCTTAAGTACAACTTTTTTAAAAACCGATTTTTTTAAATGAATGTTCACCTTGTTGGAGAAAATCGGGCCCCACAGCCCCGCAAGCACTTCCGGGGTGCCACAGGACTGTGTCCAAGTTTGGCTTCCTTGTCTGGGGTCTTTGGAACCGCGGTGTGAGATGCTGCGTGCGCGGGCGGCTGGTACAGACCTGGGAGCTGCGGGAGGAGGGGAGGCCGGGCCGGGGAGGGAGGCTGGTGAGAAGTGCGACTCTGGCGACGGAAAATGCACTCGCAGGTAACAAAAGCCTGTTGCCTCTTACTTTCTGCGCCTCCCTACTACGTTCCCACTGCGCCCGCCCCCTAGCTTCCGGACTCGCTTCGGGATTGGCCGCTCGCGGGGAGAGGCGGTGGCCGAGAGGCGGAGGGAGGAGTTAAACGGCTACATCTGGCACTTGATGCACGCAGCCCCAGAGGTGGCGGAGGTGGGTGGTCCCGCCCGTTTGTGGCTCTGCCCGGTGCTGGTGGTGGTGGTGGTGGTGGTGGGGGGCTGCAGAGTGTGGGGTGCGGGGTGGGGGAGCGGGGTGGGGTGCAGGGAGTGGGCGGAAGGGTCTAGGGTCTGCTGGCAATCAGGGAGGGGATTTGGCCCTCCTGGGTCTGTCTGGAGGGGGGAGGGGAGTGTGGGGGTCAGGGTTCAAGTGTCACCGAGTCTTGCACTTAAACGCAATGAAAGAAGCTAATACCAAGCTTCAAATGCTCCATCTTTAAGTGACTTAATAAAAAAAGAGATAAGCGAATTTGGCAAAATATGAACTGGCTAGGTGGTGGATATCTAAGCGCCCCTTAAGCTGCTTGTTTGAAAGTTCTCATAATAAAGTTTTAAAAAGACTTTAAAAGTATTTTAAAGGTGGAGAGACGTCTCCGTGTTGGATGCGATCCCAGAGTGCTCGGAGTGGCCAGAACCTGAGGAAGGAAGGGGTTCTTGAAGAAAAGGAGTATTTTGAGCAGGTCGAGTGCCTGTATCCACCTAGGTTTTGTTTTATTTTTTTAAACGAACTCTATTGTCATTGGGCATATTGAGTATAAAGACAAATAGAGTCATCAGGTGTCCAATCACCCTGACAAATTATCTAAAGCCATTTCCATTTTTTCCTTCCTATTGGTCCATATGCAAATTGGCTTCAAATTTGGCTTTTACAATGTTAACAGTGGTTGTAGTTTAAATATAATTCTATATTCCTTTTTTTTCCCCACTTAGCATTTATAGTAAGCATAACTTAAAATACCTGTACCAAATTAATACATCGATTTCCAATACCATAATCTCCTTAACCATTTGGTTCTTGAAAGATATTTAGATTATGTCCATTTTTTTCCACTATTAATGCTAGAGTAGGTATTTTCCACACATTTTAGGTTTTGTTTTTGTAATCCCTATCAAAAGTAGGATTCGTGTTCTGTGTCCAAGGCTGACTCAGGCATTTCTTAGTGCTGGAGGGGAGGTGTGTGGGTCCATAGGGGAGAGACAAATAGAGAAGAACACACTGCTTTTGACCTGATGTGACCTAGTTTTACTTTTCTTTAAACTTTTTATTATGAGAATGCTCAAACATACAGAAGAGAAACATCACAGTGCATGCCTTAGATATCTGTAACCTAAGCTGTTCATATTTTGCCATATTCACTTCATCTATTTTTGTATGAAATATTTTAAAGTAAATCATGGACATCATGACATGCTACCCCTAAATATGCACTATGCATCTCTGAAAATGAAGGACATATTTTTACATAACTGGTGTCATTACATGATCCAGTATATAGTCTATATTCAAAATTTCCCTGTCATCCTCAAATTCTTTTTACACTTGGTTTGTTTGAGCCATGATCCAAGCAAGAACTGTATATTACATTTGTTTGTTACATTTCATGAGTCGTTTTTAATCTGGAGCAGTCCCTTTCCTTTATTTACCAGGCCATTGTCTTATTGAAGAATGACCCTGTTTTCTGGTTCCATTCCAGTGTGATTTGGTGTATACCTTCTTCCACTCCCTGCCCCGGGATGAAAAGGCCGTGGGCACTAGCCCAGCTCCCAAGTCCTCAGGTACAGAGCCTTCTCTGTGACATTTCCGTGACCCCTCTGGCCCATTCCCAAGGGTAATTCCTCCTGCCCCCAGCTCTTCCCTTGTCTGTCCCTTCGCTTACTGGCCAGAAAACCGTGTTTCCCACTGAGACTGTGGGGTCTGTGGCTCCTTGCACAGGTTCCCCAGCAACTGGCTATTCAGTTGATGATTACATGCTCCAAGTGGATAAACCCATCCCAACCCACCTCTAAATCATGTTCACAGACGCCACTTGGCAGATACCCATGGGGTATCAGGAGCCTGACGTGGAGACACTGGGGAGCCCAGGGAGGGAAACAGAGACATCTGCTGGACTCCTGACCCTCTCTGTTTCCTTTGTCTTTGCAGACAGCTCGTGGGCTCCGCCCATGGGCAAGGCAGGAGGGGAGGTGAAGTTGTCCATCTCCTATAAAAACAGTAAGCTCTTCATCATGGTGATGCATATTCGGGGCCTGGTAAGTGCCCGCGCCGCCCCTACGTGACTGTTTATCTTTCTTCTGGTACTTGTTGGACTGGTCAGACCTTTTCTGTCCCCTCATGAGAGTAACCACAAGGGTTACTGAGTGCCCACCAATGGGCCTGCTGCCATGCCAGGCCTATGGTGTCACCAAGCAATGCCAGACAAAGCTTCTTACTACCTGTGGTCTTTGACAAGCAGCCTAATTACTCTGAGCCTCATTAAAATGAATATAATGTCCACCTCTCTCTGTCCCAGGGTTGTTTGGAGGCATTACAGAAGGTAATGTACTTAGAGCACTTAACATAGTGCTTGCTATTATCATTATTATTATTATGGTAGTTATGCTGGTGGTTGTAAGGGTGAGGCCCTAGGGGCTTATTACTGGGTTATAGGGATAAAGCAGGCACAGTGACATCCTTCCAAACATAACCAAGGCAGTGTATAATTACTCAATTTTTGCTGTGATTCTAAGAGCAATGTGAGTAGAAGAGGAGGGGAACTTGTATTGAATACCTGCGGTGTGCTGGCTGGGGCATTGGTATGTGACAGGAGAAACACTGGAATTAGAAACCTGGATTTTACTCTTAGAACACCATTCACTCATTCATATATTCATTTGTTCAAGAAATGCCTACTATGTGCCAAGCTACTGATACATTAGCTCTGGATATAAGAGCATATATTCTTAGTAGGGACAGATAGACACAGACAGATAAGTAAAATACAAACAAGTCAGAGAGTGTTAAGTATTCTGGGGAGAAGCACAGCAGGGAAGGAATACTGGGAGGGGATGAGGGTGGTGGCAGTTTGCCTAGAGCAGCAGGGAGACCACCATCCCCAGGGATGTATTTGAGCAAAAACAGAAGGAAGTGAGGGAGGGAGCCACGCACATACTTCTGAGGGAGGATCCAGGCAGAGGGAGCCGCTGAGTACCAAGCCCTGAGTCAGGAGCCTGCACAGGGGAGAATAGTGGATGATACGGTTGGAGAAGGCACAGCGGACCAGGGCCTGGCTCCTACAGTTAGGACTGTGGCTTTCACCCATAGTGAGATGGGAACCATTGGAGCATTTTGATCAGAGGCATGACAAGATCTCACTTGAGTTTTAAAAGAATCAGGCTGGGTGAATCACTAATTGGCTGACCTTGAGCATGCAACTTAATCTCTAACTCATTTCTCCACCTCTTAGGAATTAATTAGATCAAATGACAAAATAGACAAAGACATTAGGCAAGGCAGGAAGATATCTGGGGACATGAGGGTTCCTTCAAACCAGACCAAGTTATGGCATGCCCTGAGCATTTGCATAAAAAAAGTACAGACTGGAAACTTACCATTATCAAGGTAGATTTTTCTCTCAGAATGGAGTAAGCTGGGAAGCAGACAGGTAAATGACTATGCATTGCAAGAATCCAGGTGTGGCATTGTTTTTTCATGCGAAACCTTCGTAAGAGTATATATCAATCATACCTTAATAAAAAAAAAAGAATCCAGGGGTGGGACATGAAAGTTGATTAGGGTATGATCATAGGAATGGTGATAAGGGAACAGCTCCAAGAATCTGTTTTTTTTTTCCTCATTCCCTTTGTAGCAAGTGCTCCAGGATGGGAGTGACCCTGACCCTTATGTGAAGATTTACCTCCTTCCTGACCCTCAGAAAACTACGAAGAAGAAAACCAAAGTGGCCCGGAAAACCTGCAACCCCACCTACAATGAGATGGTGTGTGGGCAAGGTGCCCGGGTGGGGCTGGGGCTGGCACACTGCCTGCTCTGGGGAGTAAGGCTGTATGGGAACATGGCCACACCTGTTCATTAAGCATTCTCTGTGGGGCTGCTTTTGTGTTACAGCGGCAGAGGTGAGTAGTTGTGGCACAGACCACACTACATGGCCTGTGAGTCTCAAATATTTCCCATGACCCTTTACATTAAAAAGTTAGCTGACCCTAAAGTAGGGATTCCACAGCTGGGGCGTGACCCAGGTCCTGTCCTGTGGGGAGGGGAGCTCGCTGGTCCTTTGATGAGAATGAACAGTGAGCCTAATAAAGCCCTCACCTGCTTGAACTCTGAACCCAGAATAAAGCTCTCTAAAGCTTCTCTTGGGTTCCGTATGCCTTATGTATCCCTTTGGACTCTGTCTGGTTGGAGAGAGAGTAGTCTTAACTGCGGCCAGATGAAACTACCCCAGACTTAAGCATCTCCCTCCTCCTCATTGCCTCTGGCTGCTTCAGGCCCCTCTCCCTCCCTCCCTGTCTTTCCCACTCCCTGTATTTGCAGCTGGTGTATGATGGGATCCCCAGGGGAGATCTGCAGCAGCGGGAGCTACAGCTCAGTGTGCTGAGCGAACAAGGATTCTGGGAGAATGTTCTCCTTGGGGAGGTGCACATCCGCCTTCGAGAACTGGACCTGGCCCAGGAGAAGACCGGCTGGTTTGCGCTGGGATCTCGAAACCATGAGACCTTGTGAGCCCAGCAGGGCCCCAGCTCAGGGCTCCAGGCTGGGGGTGGAGCTGGGGGTGAGGACTCACCCCTGCTCTCCTGGTCCTTCCTTGTGAAGGGGCAGAGCCCTCGGTGGGCCCCCCTGGCCGTGGATCAGGCCTCGGGGATAGGAGGCAGGGAGAGAAAGATGCCCTCTGCCTTCTCCTCCTCTGCAGACTGAATTTGGGTTGGTTGTGCTGAGCAGCCCCTCAGAGGTGGTGAGGTTGCAGCAACGTTTTAAGTTTACCTTGTGTCAAGGGAGCAATGCCTGGTTTGGGTGTGTGGGGTGGGCTGTGTGAAGTAGTATTTTGGGGGAGGGTGGGTGGATATCTTTATTTTTATTTTTAAAAAATGAAATAGTAACGTTGTCCTAACTGGACAGGAAGCCTTGTGAGAAGGGACTCACATACGCCTCAGATGGCAAACGAGGACTCTTTGGACTTTTTGTATGATTAAGGTTCTTATTGGACTTTTCCGTAGGTTTTTGTTTGTTTTTGTTTTTCTATCTGGGGAGGGGCCCAGTGGGTCCTCGGTCAGGGCCCTCCCTCCGAGGGCAGGTCGCCGAGGGGCAGAGGGCTGCGCCTGCTGGACCCAGGCCTGCGCCAGTGGGCCTTTCTGATTTTGCCTCCAAAGGAGAGCGATGTGATACCTGCGTGTGTGCAGAAGGGCCCTCAGTGTGGGGCTCGGCACAGGGCCAGGGTCAGGGACCTGTGCTCTTCCGGGAGGAGTTTTTCCTCTCAGCTTCCCCTGCTTTGCTAGGACCTGCCCTTAATACTGTCTTTTACCCTTCCGTTCTCTCGGCCCTGCTGGGGACATCTGGTCCCCGTGAATACGCTGGGGGTGCTCCCCCATAGGTCTCTCCCTTCATCTTTTTCTGGTGGAATAATATGCTGCCTCTGCCCTTAGATTTCATTTCACCCAATAGCATCTGGGCCCTGGGAAGGCCCTTTGGCTGCAGGTGCCAGCTTGGCCCTGTCGCCTGTCACACCACTTTCTTTTGTGCTGCTTCTCCCTCAAACTCCATTTCTGTCACTTTTTTTTTTAACAAGAATTTCCCTCATTCTATGGGGCCATAAATCATCTGATCTGGAGCCAAAGAATGCCCTAACTGAAGGAAAGGGGCGTGAGATGGGGGATTCCATCAAAACGCTTTTTTCCAGTGACTTTATTTGGTCACGAGGAGGTTCGATTGGAGCAGCGATTGATCTGGGGCTGAGCTGGAGGGGAGACGCTGGGTCCCATCTCTTAATACTCTTCATTCCCTGCCAGACGGATTTGAAATTCACTCTTGTGTTTCTCTCCAAAGGGGTGTCTTCCTTGGGAAAAAGAGGGTGAGCCTTTGAATTTCGTATGAACTTCTTGAACCAGAATTGGCTGGATGTGCCCGTAGCTGGGGAGGCAAGTGGAGCAGGACGCAGTCTGTGCACCGTCCTGCCCCAGCTTCCTCCCTGCCCCAGGGATCAGAGATGACCCCTTGTGCCAACTCATTCCGTAACTGGAGAAAGAAGCTCCATTCAGTGCAGCCACAGGACGGTGAGGAAGTCTAAACAGATATTTTAAATGAAAAATGCCAAGGATAAAATGGCTCCTGTGGGGAGGGTCTAGGGGAGTGGGGAACAGGGGTGGAACTTCTCCAGATGAATGGACCATAGATGCGCCACTGGCTCGTGGCCTGTAGCTCATTCTCTTTGACCCTCTGTGCCCCTGATCTAAAGAGGTCTGTGTACTGTACCCACTTCCCACATGTCCTTGTATCTCCTCCTTTCTGTGGAATTGTATTTTCTAATAAATGACATTTGACAAAAACAAAACTGTCATTTGTAACACGTGGTTGATGTTTAAATGTTTAGATTAAAACATAAGATGTACAAGATGAAAATAATAATACTAGTGGTTTTACAAATGGTAACTTTAATATTCACTAGTGTGCTGCAGTGGACTTTTTTTTTTTTTCTTTCTCTAGTATTTTTTTTTATTAAGGTATCATTGATATACACTCTTATGAAGGTTTCACATGAAAAATATTGTGGTTACTACATTCACCCATATTATCAAGTCCCCCCCATACCTCACTGCAGTCACTGTCCATCAGTGTAGTAAGATGCCACAGAGTCACTACTTGTCTTCTCTGTGCTGCACTGCCTTCCCCGTGACCCACACATACCATGTATACTGATCATAATACCCCTCCATCCCCATCTCCCTCTCTCCCCACCTGCCCTTCCCCACCCCTCCCCTTTGGTAACCACTAGTCCCTTCTTGGAGTCTTGTGAGTCTGCTGCTGTCTTTTGCACTGGACATCTTACATTTGTCAGCTTTATCTGGTATCACAACAGCTTGGTCAGGTGAGTGTTATTATCTCCATTTTGCAGAGGATGAAACTGAAGCTCAGAGAGAGAAGTAGTTTGCCTAGAGACACAGCCAGTCAGACCCAGATCTGGAATTTGAACCCAGGTTTGTTTGACTCCTTATGCTACTCTTTCTAGGCAAAGTTTAAATTAGCATAATTATACTAAATTAGTATATTTAAAAACTAAGTATAATACTTGTTTTCAAAGTTAAAAAGATTTTTTTAATGTTTTAAACATAAATATTTAAGTGTTTTAATAGAAATCATGTCCTTTTTCATTTGAACTACCCTGGAATGTAGATATGGTTCATTTGTGAATTCCATCAACAAACATTGACTGTGCTTACCAGCATGTCCCGGTGGCATGCCTCCATCCACAAAGCATGCAGCCCTGGGAGTTGTGCCCTGGGTCTTGTACCAGGTACTGGGCTGAGGGTTACAAAGATACAATTAAGACGATCCTCTGCATTCAAGGAGTTGACTGCCTAGTGATGTCTAACCGACTCCACTTTATATAAGAGAGGAAACTGAACCTCTGAGATGCCTTGCAACTATTAAGAGCAGAGCCATAGCCCGGAATTGAACCCCCAAAATGGAAAATAAAGGTGACGTGATGTTCAAGCATTTTACCCAGATGTTTCAAAAATCTCCAGTGAGGAGTCATATTTCATGCTGGGGAATTTTGTGGGCCTTCCAAGGGACTCTCTGGAGTAAACAGGAGGAAAAGCTACCCACCTGTTGTGTTTCCAGGTGGTTTTGAGGTTCACTGCAGTTCTGGACAAGTTCCCAGTGGACCTTTTAAAAGTTAGAATTTAAATCTGGCAGGTTAAGGAACTTGGCCAAATGGGGAAAAAACCTGAACCACCCTGAGGGAGCGGGAATGAGAGAGCTGGGAGCATGGGGGAGGCTGTCCGGGGGGAAGGACAGGAGCACCGCAAGCCCAGGAGGCAGGGCTGTCTGAGTTCAACTCAAGGAGGCAAAAATGGGGTGACTGAACTTGCTGGGGTTTGGGGGGCAAAGATGAGATTGGACTTGAAGGGTCAAAACAGGCAGGTTTTTAAGTTGGGAGGTAATTCTGCTGGCTGGGACTTGTCTGAGGTGTCTGATCACCACCACCAACGGCCTTCTGAGGGTCAGGTGGGACACCAGGCACGGTGGCTCCTGAAGTGACAAAGGTGTGGACCCTGTCCTCAAGGTGCTCACAGTCCAGCCAGGGAGGCAGCCGTGGAAACAAGTCATTACAGTGCAGTACCTCAGGGATGGTGCAAAAAGAGGGTGTTGGGGCAGGCCACATGGGCTTCACAAGGAACCACATTTTCAAGTCTGTAAGAACTGGATTTTACTCTTAGTGTGATGCGGATGCCATTAGAAGGTTTTGAGAAAGGGACTGTAGTGCTCCAGTACATTTTAAAAGGTCATTCTGGCTGCTGTTTGAAGAAATAATGGAAGCATAGGAGAAGGCTATTGCTGTAGTCTGGGAGGGAAATGACCTCAGCTTGGGGATAGTGAAAAGTTAAATTCTGGACATACACTGAAGGCAGAGCTGACCGGACTTGCTGATGGACTGGATGTGGGGTTGAGGCAAAAAGGAGGGGAGGATGACTCAAGTTCAGAGCCTTGGCAACCTGGTGAAGAAGCTGTGGGACATGGTGGGGTTGGGAGACAGGCTAGATGGAGCTGAATGAAGGATTCTATTCGGATCGTAAGTTTGAGATGTCTGGACATTGAAGTGGAGAAGGAGAATGGGAGCTGAAGCCCAAGGGAGACGTCAGTCTGGAGTCCAGATAGAGATGTCGACAGCATTTAGGTGGCATTTACTGCATGGAACTGGTTGAGGTCACCTAGATCAGGGAGGCTAGAGAAGACATGGATGGACAGCTCTGAAGCAGACCAGCATTTAAAGGAGGCAGCCACTGAAATTGTAGGCAAACAAAGGGATGGTGTCATGGGAGCCTAAAGAAAAGTATTGTTAATATCCTAGAGCTGCCTCTAGGACACCAGATAAAAACCATAGACTGGGAGCTTAAACAACAGACATTTGTCTTCTCATTGTGCTGGAGGCTGGAAGTCCAAGATCAAGGTGTTGGCAGGGTTGGTTCTGTCTGAGGGTTAGAATTGGCTCCATGCATCTGGTGGTTTGCTGGTGATCTACCCCAGTGTTTGGCTTGCAGACACGTCACCTCAGTCTCTGCCTTCACATTCATGTGGCTTTCTCCCTGTGTGGGCATGTGGGTCTGTGTCCAAATTTCTCTTTGTAAAAGGACACAGTCACACCAGATGAGGGCCCACCCTAATGACCTCATCTTAACTTGCAAAGATTGTGGTTCCAAATAAGGTCACATCCACAGGTACTGGGAAATGAGGACTTCGGCATCTTTTAGGGAAGCACAATTCAACCCACGGCAGTTGGAGCATTGGATCTGGCAAACTGTTGTCGGTGACCTTGACAAGAGCTGTTTGAATGAGTGATGGAGATGAAAACTCCATTGAGCAGGTGAGGAGACATGAGGTGCTGACAAAATGGAGACTGTGGGGACAGCAAACCCTTGAGAAATTTTGCTGTAGCTGTGCAGAAACTTGGAGAGGCACATATCTAGGGAGAGTTCATTTTTAAGATAGGTGATATTAACTATGTTAATGTGCGTGCTCTAGAAGCTTGAGAGAGAAAGTTATATGTTAACAGGAAATGGGGAATAAAAGAGGCCAGAATTCCTTGAGTGGACATGAAGGGATAGGATCGAAGAGGCTTCTTTGCTAGTAATGCGATTGAAATCAGAGTATGTGGGTCCAGATACGGGTCGATCAGTGGATTTAATGATGGAAAGACAAGGTTGCTTATGTATTTTCTCAATGAATTGAGGTGTGATCATAAGTTGAGAATCTGTGTTTGTGGGAATGATAGAATATGAATGAAGCAACATGAGTTAAACGGTCTCAGACAGGAAAAGCAAAGCTACTTCAGAAATGGAACTATTTTAGGAGTGCCTGGCACCCATGAAATCTGTGATCACAAACGTGAAGTGAGTGAGCACAGTTGAGTCCTTTTCTTCAACAATGATTAGCTGCAAGGGTGTAGGCTCAGAATAAGTGGATAGTGGGTTTAAATAAGCTGGGAATTTTGCCAGAGAGGAATACCAGAGTAGGAGAAGAACAAGAGAACGAAGAGTCTTTGCAAGGGGGTAGTTTTGATACTGGATGATGGAATTCATGCTAAGTAAGGAAGGAAGTGAAGGGGGCTGATGAATCACAAAACACGGGGATGGCAATGGTCTGGGGCTGATAAAGTGCTCAATAGGGATTCCAGGGCAATGAGTTGGAAAGCTTAGGAGGCAGTAGCCATTGTGGGATAGTTAGAAATAAGAGTCTGGAGGTGGGACGGGCTCTGAAAAATAAAGTCAAAAGCTATATACTCTTTACCTCAGGCCCAGCAAGATATTTAAAAATAAACATAATTAACTGCGTTTAAATTATCTTCTGCCAAAGTGCCAGTCAGCCCGCCAGCCCAAGGCCTTGTCCTCAGCATGAACACAGCCTGGGCAACACGGCGTTATCTCCGTGCACAGGCTGCCCTCCCTCCACCCTCTAGTCGACAACAGGCTTGAGGGGGCCGTTCACACTTCATTTTCCTGTCGAGACTGACCAGGCAAAGTCAACTTTTGTATAGCTTACAAATACTTTATGATTGCACTAACTGTCCCTTTAAAACAACTCCCAAGCTGAGGAAAATAAAAATTATGTATTCAATGACTAGATGGGTGAAAGGAGGCCCATTCAAGAAAACTTTAAGAAACTTTCTCAGGAGCATGTAGTATTAGTGACAAAGTTGAAAATGCCCCACAGGAGGCTTGGCTGTAAGGAAGATGCTATTATCTTAAAGTATTAGTACTCTTCTGTTCACTGAACAAACATTTTTGGTCACCTTTTACATACTAGTCAACATACTAGGTGAGTGGCTCCTAAAGTTTTTGGTCTCAGGACCCCTTTTACCCTCTTAAAAATTATTGATAATTCCCACAAACTTGTTTATGTGGATCATGTCTGTCAACAGGTACTGTTTTAGCGCTCAAAATGGAAGAATTTAAAATATTTATTTAAGAAATAATAAACCCATTACATGTTAACATAAAACTTTTAATGAAAAACTGTTATTCAAAACCAGTAATTTAGCAAGAAGAGTGGCATTATTTTACATCTTTTTCCCAAATGTCTTTACTATCTGGCTTAATAGAAGACAGTTGGAATCGCGTTCAATCTGTTACCAGATCAGGTATCATGTGTCTTCCACAGGGTACATGTCCACTGTCCACTCATGAGAAAATGAGAGTTAAAAAGGAAAATAACATTGCTATGAAAATGTTTTTGACCTTGAGGATCCTCTGAGAATGCCTAAAAGTGGAACTTTCAGGGGGGGCCCCGGCTACACTTTGGGAACCACTGTGCCCTCACCATGCTAAGAGCAGC